ATTTAATGCTTCTGAAAAAAAAATTAATGCCAGTCTGATTATCTGAAAATATATAATAACAAAAAATTAGCTACTGAAATATTTTATATATACAGCTAAAAAAATGGAAAATCATAAAATATTAGTCAATCTTGAGCAATTTTGTGATTTTTGAAAATTTCAAAACACTTTTCACTTGTTCTCCAAGTGATAAATTCTCAGAATGGAAAAATAAAGTAATAACAGATAGGTAAACTGCACAACGAAAGGGGGGATAGTTCTATATTTCCAGTTTCTACTGGGCCGATTGATGTAATTCAACTTGCATTTTTTAGCTCTCGAAAGCACAACTTAGGATATGTGTTAGATTTATATATAGCATTGTTCTAATATAGGTATTTTTACACAAAAATTGGACTTTTTCTGAAATAGCATAGCAATTTTTTTTCATATTTCCATTCTGTGACTCAAATTATGCCAAACTACCAAGTTTTGTAAAATTCGCACAAGTAGTTTATAAAAAATTAGCTCTCAAAATTTTGGCTCCTAAATGTTAATTCATTTTGGTATATATTTATTAATCTCTATTTTTTATTAAGCTTATTTGATTTTCCTTTCATATTTTGAAATTTAGGTTCATTCCAAATAAAATTCACGCATTTCTGTAATTTATTTTTAAACTTTGTACTTTGTATTTTTAAATATTATATAGGAGATATAGAACTCCCCCCCTCCCCCCCCCCCGCGCAGTGTATATCTAAACTCTTTAATTTGCTAGTTTCCATGTTTCATTTATTGTGCTTGTTACTTATGATTAGCAGCATGTTTGCTCACACTTTTACAAGAATCCATGCAAAAAGATACTCTTATTGTGTGTACTTACCTTAATAGATCATTGACTAAATGATAATAAAGAAATTTAATTTTTAAAAACTGCAACCAGGAGGCGTCAAGTTCTGAAAATCATTTCGGCGTAGAAAGATATTTTATAATATTTAGTGATGTTGCATATGATGAATAGTATGCTGAATAAGGATGAATTTGTGGCAGAAATTAGGTACAATAAAAAAAAAAAAAAAAAAAAAAAAAAAAAAAAGAGAGAGAGAGAGAGATAAAAAAAAAGTATGTTTTTCACCAATTATACATTTATTGAAATGAATCAAAGTTTCACAGTTGTAAATACACTGATTATCATAAATTAAGGAAAAATCACAAAAATCACGATTACTGGAAAAGTTACATGTAGAATTTTATGAAACTCACCCACAATATACAACACATAGTAAGGTATCAAATAACATAAAAATAAATTACCAGACAATTATGGTAGTATAAAAATTAGCACATGTATAAAATGAGCAAATCGAAGATGTCAGTTTGCTATAGTAAAAGTACCTTCAATATGGAATATAATCGCCTCTAGAAGCAATACAGCACATTCAGCAATGTGTGATGCTTTCAATTATGCGGTCTATCAGTTCCATAGGAAGCGAGAGCCATTGCTCTTGCAAAGTAGTTGCAAGTGCAGCAAGGGTCTGAAGGGGCGTATTGAGAGCAGCTAGACGTCTCTCTAAAGCATCCCAAACATGCTCAATAGGATTCAAGTCCGGGGATCAAGCTGGCCACTCCATGTGCATAATTGTTTCCTGTTGAAGATAATCATCTACGATGCAAGCCCTGTGTGGTCTTGCGTTATCGTCCTGTAACAGGAGAGCATCACCTATCGCTCCGGCACATGGCCATGAGCATCAAGAATGTCATCTCTATAAACATGAGCATTCACGGTTTCTGTTGGAAAGACATGGAGCTCTGTGCATCAACCCAAAGAGATGCCACCCCAAACACAGACACTGCCTCTTCTGTATGGATCTGTCTTGTGTTATCGTCCTGTAACAGGAGAGCATCACCTATCGCTCCGGCACATGGCCATGAGCATCAAGAATGTCATCTCTATAAACATGAGCATTCACGGTTTCCGTTGGAAAGACATGGAGCTCTGTGCATCAACCCAAAGAGATGCCACCCCAAACACAGACACTGCCTCTTCTGTATGGATCTCTTTAACGGATGTTTGACACAGATGATAACAGGTTCCAGGTTCTCTCCATATCAAATAATGCCTACTATCACTTTCTAGACTAAACCTATACTCATCCGTAAAGAGAATAGCCCTCACCTGCTCAGGCGTCCAGTGAACATGTTGTCGTGCCCGCTGCAAATGGTCCCTCCTATGGCATGACTTGAGCGGCATGCAAATGGTTGTTCGCCTCGCATACAGACCACCTTCGTAAAGCCTTCTACGCACAGTTCACATTGACACCAACTTTTCGGTGGTTGCAGCAAGGGAGGATCTAAGAAGAGTCGGAATAGCGGTTCTATTCCTGAGTGCACATAATGTCAAATATCGGTCATCGGCGCTCGTCGTAGCAGTTGGCTGTCTTTGGCTGAACCTCCTAGGGGCCGAATCTGTGATTTGAAATTGCCTCCAAAGTCTATGAACCACAGAAGGACTCACATTTAGCCATCTGGCCACTTCTGTTTGACTTTGTCCTGCTTCTAGTCTCCCAATGGCTTTCTATTGCAGTTCTCAGGCAAATGATGCCTGGAGGTCATTGTTACGAATTGGCTATCTCAGATTTCTGATGTCACTATCACAGTGAAATATGTGGGCTTGCTCTCAAACATCGACTTTTATGCTCCTCGCAAATGACATATTTCGAGTGCAGCGCCACTAATTTGCATATCGGAGTTTTACTTGGCTACTCTTACTTGGCAACATATTCAAATTTTTTACACGGTTTGGCTTATTTTTGAGGGAGTAATCGCTATTTTTGTGATTTTTCCTTAATTTATGATAACCATTGTAGTTGCAGTTTGCGTGCAAACAGTTTGCTTTCATATAAATTTGTAATAGTGATTAACGAGCTGTCACTAGTGTAAGTAAAATGTAAACAATTTAATAACTTAACTAATTGTAGTTTGCAAATTTGGTGGAACACTGAGGAAGGGTTTTCAGTAAATGACCATGGTCAATGGAAATAAAAAATACTCAAAAATTTGCATGTGATCTTAAAATAGTTGCTGAATCACTGTAAACAGATTTTAAAAATGAAAATATGACTATGCAGGGTGATCAGTTTAAAATTAAACTTTTTGTAGAAACAGTGAGTATAGATATTTTACGAGCATAATTCACCCACAGCATATATTGGAAATACCATCTCTTCAGTTCTGTTTATTTGAATAGACTATGTTTTTAGCAACCTTACAATACTTTTCTTTATAGGGAATAGCAGCTGTGATGCTAATTTGTAGCTTTTCCGGTATTTTGAAAATTATATGCTCACAACTTATATTAAGATAAATAAATATAAATTATGAGTTAATAAACACATTTAGTTTAATTTTCTCACAATTTATGTGTTTTCACAAGAAGTGGATAGGATCTGAAGATCTCAGTGGCCATAACCTGTAGATATCATTCTGCGATCAAAAAAACTGCTGATGATAGAATCTGTGGTATGGCATGTTAAGCCATTTTGCTATGTTTAAGCTTGTTCATTTTCCTGCCATAAGGCAATGAATTTGATAGATAGCATCTAATGGGAGTCAGCATTTTGATTATTTAAAAAAACTGATTATTAATTGTCTTAACATGGGTCATAATATATAAATTTTTGCATAGGTCAAATGAGATAAGCAGGCACAGATTTTCAGAACTCTACGTGATATTTTTTTGCTGCTGTATTTGATATTTTTTGCAGCAGATGATTTTTCTACACATCACACCAAACTGATTTATTAATTTCTTTTATATAATTATATAATGGAATAATATAGGGACTGTAGGACATCTGGAATCCTGATCTGCATAAAACTATGCATAGTTAGTGTAATGACAAGTGTAATACTTTTTATTTATTTATTTATTATATATATATATTGTTGTTGTTGTTGTTGTTTATCAATGAGCATTTAGCTGCCAATTTTAATTGATACTTTTTTAAATATATCTAAAATCGGCATTTTATGTGTATACATGTGTGTGTGTTTATACAGTGGTGATCTATGTAAACTTTAATGTAGTGTTTCCACTTTATCTTATAAAAAAAAACTATCAGATTCTACATAAAGGTTTTACTCTTTACAAAACTAGAAAATACAAATAATTATGCATGAACAAGAAGGGATATTTTTTTTTGAATTTTTAATTTTTTTAAATGTCATTATTATTATTATTGTTGTTGTTGAAAATTTAAAATAAAAATCATATAAATTACATGAAAGTAAGGAGTAAATTTAATTGTTTGATACATTTTATACCAGAAGCTGCAATATATTATCTTCTTTTTTCTTTAACATCAGTTCACCATTTGGGAAGTTCTGAAGCGAAGCAATGTGTTTTCCAAAAAGTTGTATATAAAGTTATGGATTAAATTCTCGTTACGGTTTTTGCGTTTAAGGAAATTGTTATTAAACCTGGTATTTGTTTTACAATCAAGGAACATCTTGCTGTATCTTTTATCTGTAAGGAAAACTAAAAGCAGAACTTCAATCCATTATCTTCATGTTAAAAATTTGATACCCAACAATAAATTTATTGAAAAAGGCCAATATTTTCCAGTATCTGTTACAGTTTTAGGTTATCTACAGTGCATTTGACTAAATTTATATGAAGTCAGACAAGACACTAATTCTCAGGAAGATAAAGACTAACGTAAGTCAAATTATAATTATGGCATACAACACAGGATTTTTTTCTTGGTTAAATAAAGAAGCAAGCAAAAAGAATACAAGACTTGCATATTAGATACAAATTTAACAAAAGGCGTGTGCAAGCCCCTTACAGTTTACCACTGTATTTATATTCCATTGCCAAAACATTTAAAATTCGAGATTGCGTGATTTTTCTCATAAGTGTACATTACCGAAAGTTAAGCAGAGTAATACTTTTTTGCACTCTTAGGAAATTCAAATGAACACTTATTATATTGTACAGAATTTATTATTATTAAATGTAGATATAGTACAGATCTTGAAAGAAATGATGAATATCAGCACCACCTTCAAACCAACTCTAAAGATCCTTGTTGTAATGGCTGCAATAATTGCCGGGATGCAGTTTTTCAAGGTTCATGCAGAAGATTGAACCAGTAAGAGCTGTTTGTATTATTTCATTATTTTATGTGACATCTAATTTTTTCTTCTCATATACTGATTATTGTACAAATTGTTAATGCAATTTATCATTCTAAATAACAAAAATGAAATATTTTTAATCCTTTCGATTTGAAAGAAGTATTTAGTGTTAAACTACAACCAAAGCTGTATTTGTTAAATTGAGTGCCACTTTGATGTTAGGTTGGTGTGGGGTAGCAATTTCATGTTAATCTTGACCAAACTGGAAAAAAAAAAAAAAAAAAAAAAAAAAAAAACTTTTATAAATAAGTGATACAAAAGGCCCTGAAGGAATTTTTAGATCCAAGCTAATTTCTTTATTAATTTTTATTCGATGTGATGCTAAATTTCTCTACCTAAGTAAAGAGAGGTCTATTTATGGAACAAGTTGATTTATGTTTACATCACATATTAGAAAAATTATCCTTGTTTCTAAGGCTGAGTGGGGTAGGTAGTATGAAAGCTGCTGAATTTTTATGTAATGACATTTCTCTATTATTTATGTGTATTTGACTCTGCTCCAATTCAGTGAAAGAAATATTTCTGTCTGTGTGTATGATCAGGTGTTTTGCTCTGTTTTTAATTAAGATTTTTGAATTTTTTTATTTACTTTCAGTCATAAATTATGTTTTAGAACCTTGAACAGTTCCAATAGAAAATTAGGCATTACAGGTTTTAAATATGAGTTTTTGCCTACAAATGAAATATTAAATTAGATTTTTATATTGTGTGAATTTATTGATAAACTGTAATATAAAAATGAGCTACTGCCCTTCATTTGGGCAGGAATAAGATCTTTCAAACTCAGTATGGCTACAGAGCTTTGCTCATCCTAATGTATTTGCACAAGAAGGATGTTAAATGAAGCTGGTCTTACTGTTAAAAGCAGGCTGAATGAGCTCAGCTTCTCTGTGTTACATATCTATCTATTCAAAGTATATACATAAAGGATTGCAAGATTTGACTCATCAACCTGACAATCCAATGAGCATGATCAGTTGATTAGTACTACACTATTGCAGGAGTTAAAGCAAAAAGGATCAGCATAATATTCATGAAATTGCAGGATTACTTTCGAATTTTGCACTTCTGCAGCTGAAGAAGCAAAAAGAATCAGCTTAATATTCATAAAATTGTATTAAAACCTTTGAAACTAGTCCTGCAATTTATGAATACTATGCTGATTCTTGTTGCTTTAATTTCTCTATTAATCATTATTTGGCATATTATTTTAACTTAAATATTACTAGATATTTACTTCTTTTTCCACCATACCGAGGAGGATCTACGGGGGATGGAGGCTGTTGTTTGAAAGAATAATAATGGCAGCTAATAAAATGATCTCATAAAAAGGTTGCTTTATATACTTTATGGATTTTGATAAATGTCCATATGTGATCAAGCAGAAATCTGATAGAATCAATTTTACAACATTTATTTTAATTTTCAGTTGGCTAAAATACGGGCAAGGAAATGAAAGCTATTGAGCAATATCATGAAACGGTACAGTTACATAGTAATGTAGAGTTCTTTGCCTACGTGAGGAGAGCTTATCTTTAGATGCTTGCAAAAGCATTTTCAGAATGTATAGAAGTTGAATATTAGCAGTCAAAGTTTTTTTATAATGTAAGAAGCAGAATTAATAATCTCTTTTATTGTCATTGTGTGTATCTAAGGAGAGGATAATTTTGCATGTTAATCTACTCTAAGCTGGCCAACTAATTAATATGAAGAAGGCAAAAATGAAACATAAAGCACAAATCTGGAAATCAATTCCTGAAATAAAATGAAAATTAAAACAGTTAAATAAAAATTAATTTTATAACTCTTTGATCTTCATCAAGAAGCAGTCTGTGTGTATGAAAAATTATCAACATTAGCTACATTTCTGAACTATATCTGGATGAATTGTAAGAAAACTGAATAATTAATAAATTATTATATTTAATTTTAATTTTTAAATTGTTTTGTTAGGGAATTGAAATATAATTAGTACAATATATATATATATATATAAAAGGCATTTCATCCAGCTATAACCTTCTTTGACTGACTGGAAATAAAATATGTGTTTCACATTTTACATTTAATTACAATTTATAAATATACTGATAAGAGGACTAAATATGTGGAAAATTACAGTTAGTCTCAATTTCAAATCAAAGGGAAAATTCCTTTTCAGAAATCTTATGGGCGATTTTTTTTTAATAAAATCTTCCAATAAATATATGTAATACCAATAACTTAGAATACCAAAGAAGTAAAATTTTCACAAAATTGCAGATGTTAAGATTGAAATTTCAAGAGAATATAAAAATGTAAAGCAACACTAAAATTGGGCAGGCTGTGATAAATCAATGGCAGATGCCTCTTTTTTGTGTGTATGTGGGGCAAATTGTAAATTATTACAGTAGGTGCTAAGAACTAATGTTGAAAAAGTAGTTGTAAAAACCAAATTAAAGTATAAAACATTTCAGAAGTAACTTTTCATATGTCAAATTTAAAATTTTGTAAGTTAGAAGTTTGTAAAAAAAAAAAAAAAAAAAAAAAAAAAAGCTAAAAGGTATATACATTATTACTCCATCATATGCCTTTTGTTTAGGTCCATCAATTAACTAATCAGCTGCATTTTAGGCTTTTGAATGAAGCAATAATGAATTTTTGAGGACCTGGAATGAAATATTTTTGTAAAAATACTTTTTCTCACATTAAATTATCCTCGTTTTTAGATTCAAAATTACTTTTAAATAATGAGTGCTGTTCCAGCTGTCCTGTCATCACTTATTTTATTCTTAATATCTTTGATAACATTTTCATAAATTAAGCTTCACTTTAATATAAACTTATGGAATATTTATAAACAGTATATTTATATACATGTATACATGTACTGCATACATACAGATTTGAAATTGACAAATACTCTTCCTTTAAATTTTTTAGTAAATTGTTCTGTTGATGCTGATATTTTATGTCTTCTACTTACTGCAACAAGCAAATAATGAAAAATAACATCAACAAAGGTCATATTGTGCATTTTTTAAAAACAGCAACATTATATGGTCACTTTCTGCTGCAGTTACAAAAACAATGCTTGTATTGAACTTTGCTGACTGTAAGCTTAAATTAGAGGATTTTTAATCTAAATTTATGGCCATCATAAGTCGACCTTATGATTCATTCACCTGTATTAACTATACTTAATATAAAACTTAGATTTCAAATCTAAAGCTAGTCCTTGTTCTAATTTAAATTAGTTTTTGAATTTCTGTATTGTAATTGTGAATTTTAAAAGCATATTTCTGTGAAGTTCGACAGTTTTTATAATGGGTATCAACACATTATGTTTGCCTAGGGTGCAAACTTTCAATATTTTTATATATATTATTTCAAAAATCAAAATATGTATTTTCTGTGATTTCATGCTCAAGTTGAATTAACTCAATTTAATGTTATTTAGTGATTGCTATGGATCTATTAGTAGTAAATTTAAGTAAATGTTGAGTAATGTAATAAATTTAAGAAAAATACACATAAAAATAAAGTTTTGCCTATATATTTTTCTTGCCAACATCTTAGGCATTTTTCGTAAAAATTTTCACTATATTAATGTTATATATTAGTTGTCACTTACTCAGTTTTTACATATACCCTTTTAGCATCTCAAAAAATTATTCTTAAAGCAAAAACATATGTAGAATTATATTTTTATGTTTATTCCCTTTACTATAAGTTTAATATTTTGTTTTTACTTTCAGTGTTACTACTATTGAACATGATTGCCATGAATTCCAACCACCAAACCTTACATCTTGTAGCCATGATAAGCACTGCTATTCTGAAAGCATTTCGTGTTCTCATGAAAAATTTTGTCTATGCCAAAAAATCTCTTCTCTGCCACTTAAGTGTAAATCTGAATCTAACAATCTGCAAAGCAATTACTGTTATAGAGAAATGGATACTCCAAACAGCAAAACATTAAATCAGCTTGTTGATCCTCTCAATAGTGTACGACTTAAACCAAAAAGGATCCTGAAAAAGAATACTGTTGTGAGTTAACAAGATTTTTTTATGACACAAAAGCATATTTTCTTGTTCTCTCTTGTATATATGTTTATAATCATGAATATTTTGAAAATTATTGGATTTGAACTGACATTTTTATGGTGTTTATTTTATGTATGTATTTTTAGTACATATATATATGTATTGATTATAAGAAGTAAGTTATTCATAACATTCTAATTTATATTTTATGCATAAATTTAAATATGGTTCCAAAAGTTAAACATGCAATGGTAAAATCAAGAAAAATGGAAAAGTAAGGCTTTGATTAACTCCAGATTACACATGAAGGTAGGAAATGTATTTGTACATGAAAGAAAACAAGCATTAAATACAAAGACAAAACAGTATTTAGTTTTCATAAATTATATTGTGATTATCACATTTGGATCTTTAATAAGCTGGTATTAAAAGCTAAAGACAAACAAAACTTGCATTAATAATATATGTGACCACCTTGGACCTTAACACAAACTTTATAGTAGTTGCTGATGCTTTCAGTCAGGTGATTAACTATCTCTGATATTAGGAATGGCCACTCCTCCATTAAGACAGTTTTCAGCTGTCTGAAACTGGCTGGAGGACGTAAGCATGTAAAGGCAGCTCATCCAAGGGCATCCATCATTCAATGTGCTTATGCTTTACTTTCACTACAGGCATCAACTTCTTAGAGTTTAAACCTGATCATTCTAACTTGCCATATGGCCATTCATGGTTGTAGAAAAATTTAGGGCGCTATCACGCCACTCACTCGAAGGCAAAAATAAGAGTCTGAGAGATCAGGCAGTCAGAGGTTTCAGGTGGCAAGTCAAGGTGGCGTACACTAACATAATAGCAAAAATTTCAATTTTTAAGTCATGAAAATCATCTGAGTCATGACTGAAGAACAAAAAACTGCTTTGTGAGAGATTCGAGAAAATAATGTCTAATTCTTGAGAATTCAAGGTATGAGTATCACGTGACCGGTACTAGCCAATATGGTTGGATCCACATTGGTAGGCGTGGTGAGTTCAATTATTTACACTTTGTACAAATGACACTAAAAGTCTTTGCCTGTCCAGGCACTAAGCCCATATTCTTAGTAGTAAACACAAACTCAGAAATAAATCTTGGTTAAATACTTGGATAAATACTAGGATTAAGTGCTTGATTAAATACTTGAATAAGATGGGATGAAACTATATGCATATTTACTGCTACCACGTTACATTGTGGTAAATTGGCCTAGGTCGTTTCACGAAGCTTTCCACAGTGGGATCATAGTTCGTAAGTTCTCTCAAAGTATTGACTGGCGAATTCTCCATTTTCTCAAAAAAGTTGTGAGCACTTATTAGGATCTACTCCAGTATTGGTTTAATTTTTAAATCTTCATAAATGATCGTATTTCCAACATACCAAGGTGCATTAACCATCTATCTTAGTATTTTCTTTTGCAGGAGGTTAATTTTCCTTCATTCAGTCGCCATGGCCCAGGGGCAGGGCTGCATAAAGCAAAATTGGTCTAATAAGTGCTAAGTACAGAGTGCGTTTAATTTTTAAGCTCAGTTTAGATTTCCGTCCGATAAGTTTATAGAGGGACATGTAAGCTCTATTTGCTTTGTTAACTTGATTAATTACATGGTCTTTAAAGTTAAGTCATTCATCAAGAATCATCATTCGATGTGATTAAGGTTGTAAGGGATAATGGGGAATACACTAGCACTCAGTACAAGAAATGCCATCGCTCTTCAGGTACTTATTAGCAATTTTGGCTTATTGGGGATAGGCATTATCATTCTCAAGGAGAAAATTAGGACTGCTGCAGTATAGAGTCTCACAATGAAGTGTAAGACTTCATCCAGATATTGCATAATGATTATGGAACGGTCTTTAAAGATGTGCAGTTGGCTGTGATATCCCACTGAAATTCCAGCCCACACCAAGACACTGCCACCTTTGAATGTGTGATGTTAAGCCAAATTCCATTTTCTCCAGACTCTTACCATGTACTTATCATGTGATTCTAAGGGTGAATATCTATTGGTCCATGAACAGGATATTACTGTAGTTTGAGACAATCCAACTGAGATGCTAATGCAATCACTTAAATCTTTCCTCTCTGAATTGGACAGTTAGTGGAACACAAATCCTTGGCAGCTGGATATACGGTCCTTTCATGTGAAGACTTCGGTACCTAATACTGGCATATATTGTCTTAGCATGTGATGCTGCAAACATGGATGTAAAAGTTGTGGAGGTAGGCTGTTGATTCCTCTTGGCTATTATAGCAATATACTAATCTTCAGAAGGGCTGGTAACCCTTTGTCGACTGGGCATATGTCTCCATGCAAGTGTTTGACTTATTTGGAATTGTTTCCACATTCAAATAATTACGAATGACCAATACCAAAGAAAAGAGTGACATCACTGATTGACTGTCTTGCTTCAGTGTGTCTGATGTCATGCCAGTATTCATTATCTACTATTTATTTGTCTTCTTTCAGCCATAGAAATCTGAATATCATCAAAAATTATCTTGTGAAAATTATAAGTACTTCATATAAGTATTTAAATGAACCTTCTCAAACTTTTCCAAAGGCTGACGTCTTCAGCGACTGCCTAAATAGCATATGTTTGGACAGTCAGTCATGACTGGTTGCAACATTTCATAGTAGCATAGTGCCATCTGCATCTGCATCTGCAATGATTTTCAATTACCCATTCAATTATCCTTTTGATAGTAGCTGATTTGCATTATACTCTCAACTTTAAGAAGCCAGTTTATTATTAGACTTTGTTTGAAACTGATCACAAGGAAAATTTTAATTTGGGTGTTAGGAATTATTTAAAAACAAATCCAGATTTTAAATGGACAGTTCAGTGTTTTATACAAAACTAAGTACTAAAATTTTCACCTATTGCCTAAAGTTCTTAAGCAAAAAAGTTTAAAAAAATAAAATAAATAAATATTATATTGTTGTCATTTATATAGCAGAGGCATCTGTTTATGGCATAAAGTTCTTTTTCCCTTATATCCCTTTCTGTATTTGTAAATAAAAGCAAATTCTCTTATCTACCATTTATTGCAAAACTATCATTACTGAAAAATGAATTAACAACTTTGAAAAAAGCATATGGATCATTTACTGCAGCATTCATTTAAGAACTATCAGAAATTGGCTAAATTTTTTGAATAATCACCTTCTGATCATATAATGCCATCACTCTTCAGGTACTTTCTTTATCAATGGGTTTTTTTTTTTTTTTTTTTTTTTTTTTTTTCCTTCCCATTATTTTGTTGTAAATCTGTTATATAAAATTCTGGTTATAATAAACTTTTGAGAATATTATTATTAGATTAAATAATACTTATGTATTAACTACTACTGGGAAAATTATTTAACTCCAAGATGTGGTGTAACCTTTGAATGCCTTGAAAGTTTTATAATAATTTGTTAATAAATATCAGCTTTTCAGTTTCAGCCATGCTCTCAGTCTTCACTGTTTTCTTTTAACCACATTGCCATGCCTATTTTATTAGTTTTGAAGTATTTTGCATTTGTTATTTTCTTGATTGGGATGTGTCAAATAATGAAGTGGAATATGTTTGGTTTCTTAAAAATTATGGAATGTTGCCATAAGTCAAGAATATCCTGGTTCCCTTATAATAAAATTATGAATCATTAAAGGCGTGCTGTGGAAACTTGGCATTGAAAATTGCAGCTGATGGCAAGAATGAATGTAGGGAATTAGTTTGAAGGAAATCAGATTACATTTAAAGTCTTATGGTTTTATTTGTAGCTGTGTATCACTCTAATTTTGCAAAAAGAACTAAATAAAACTGCTGTATATTAAAGCAATTATCTTTGAGCAGTTTGTATGACAGAAAACAGAGGAAGAATTGAAATAGTTAATGCTGAGGTCATCACCAAAGTTACTTTGACATCAACTGAAGTTCCTGATAATGGTTGAACTTAAACACAAGAACACAGTAAAGTATGTTTGCTTGTATCTTTTTTCCTCCATATTGTTAGATATTTGTTTGTTGAGCACTTTTCAGAAATCGCTAAATCCACTGGTTACTTATCTATCTTATCACTAAGAATGTGATGTCCATGTTTCAACATAGGGTGTGATTGATATAATGTTATGTTTGTGATGAGAAATCATTGAAACTAGCCTACATACTAGTAGTCATCCTTTGCTAGCCACTTTGCCATCCATGGCTTGTACTCATAAAAACATTCCTGTCATGTAAAACCAGATTTCAATAGAATAGGAAAGGATATAAAACATTTTGTTCAGTTTGAAGCAATAAATTTAGGATTTTTTATTTTTGAAATTACTAGGGAATAGAAAATTGGTTTTTCAAATTGCCTGAAATGCACTAAATAGTTGAACACAGTAATTCAAATCTTAAGTTTTTGCTTCGAAAACGTAGCACATCTGCATTCTTCTGCTAATTTCATTGAATTAATAAGAAGGCATTTTTTGTCTGAGCTTTCATTAGGTCTGAAAAATATCCAAGTCCTTTAGGACATTTATCATCTTGAATGTTTTTGGCAGCCTCGCCATATGAAATCTTAGTGCTATTTAAGAATTTTCCCCTTGAAAGAAGTTTTTTAAAACTAAAATAATTTTCACCACCAGCCTTATGGTCTAACAATTTTCTTCTTCTGAATTGCATGTTTAAGAGCTTAGAAAAACCATGAAAATTCATTGCATGGTCCTGTTGTAAGTAACTGACATGCTTAACATAGACTTATTTTGGTGTATGTCAGATAGTCTAGAATGGTGATCTCCAAAGTGGGGTGCACAAAGTGGTATTTGTGGTATGCCAAAGAGGTAAACTCACAGTTACTTGTGATTATATGTTCATGTATGTTATAATTATGTTACATAGAATATAACTAATAATTATTTTTGCCTTAGGGATATGCTATCAAAAAAGTTTGGAGATTGCTGGTCTAGAAGGCATTTCACAAACTGCAATTTATTATAATACAGAATTAATTCAGAAATGCAAAGATCTCTCTCTCTCTCTCTTTCTCTCTTTTTTTTTTTTTTTTTTTTTTTTTTTTTTCTCAGTAAACATTTTATATTGAGGCATATGATGAAAAATCACTGATGATTATCTTTATTGGTTCAAGGAAGTATTGGATTAGATTTGTGTTTTAGATAACACACCAGTGGCATTGTACTTGTAGATCCATTTTAAATTAATCCTAATGGAGTTTTGATAAATACTTCCTGAGAATTCATCTTTGTGGATCTATGTAAGAATTTATCCTTTTTATTTCAATCTCAGGTAGATGATTGAAGAGATTGTATAAGTTTGGTAACAAGCTTAATATTAACTTACATAATATGTAACAGGTACAACTTGTTCAATCAGGTTTCTAAACTTACTGGCTTGTAGTATCATAGGAACTTCAGATATCTAACAGCTTCCTCCATGGCTCTGATTGGAGTAATCCAATTGTTGCTTGATTTGTGAATTTCAGTTTTCTTGGGTGCATTAATCATCATCTCACCCATCAGCTTGATGTAATCTGTTATCCTTTTATTCTAAGATAATTCTTCGAACTTCTCCCTCTTCTATAACTGCAGCTGTTTTCCCAGTTGACATAAGGCAGATTTTAGTCATATTATTTTGTTATTATTAGGTAGATATTATTATTATTTATTTAATCATTCTCTCTTATAGCATATTGCAATAACTCAATGATATTTATTGATATTTATAGATACAGTGTCTTTCATAGCTATTCTGTAATTTATTAACCTGATTTGTCCATACTTGTCCTGGAGAATATGCAATTAAAATCATTTTTGCTTATTATTGTCCTAAAAAATGCAGATATATTTTTATTGATTTTCTATTCCTATACGCATTTGTGGATTAATCATGAATAAAGATTTCTCAGAATAGCTAAATGCTAAATTTGGCATATCTTTCAGTTCTGATGAAATCCAAAATCTAATCACAGAACATCAAATATATAACCATTAGTCAGAAACTTCAAATTCCTATTCATAAATACTGAATAAAAGTTAATATTACTTTAAAACTAGAAAAAATTTTAAATTTCTTTAAACTAGTAAATTTTAAACTTATTATTGAGAAGTAGAATCTTAGATTGATAATGATGGCTTGTAGAAGGTCAGGAAAAGATTGTGGTCAAATCTGATGTTCAAGGGCTTTTAAGGAGCATCTTGAAGAAGAGAGATGAATATCAAATACTCCAGAAATGCTCAGGGCATTTCTGTAGTTATTAATTTTGCCGTCTTTGTTAAAAATTTATTTCTGGTGTTTAAATTCCTAAGTTTTCTAAAAGGGATGATCTAATATGGTGTTTTTAAATTATGTATCAAAATAAAGGTGTGTGTATATTAAAACATCTTTTTAAATATCTTTAGATATCTATTTTAGATAATGGTGAAGTGTGCTTGGAATTTCTGAAGGTCAAAAAAGATAAAAAATATGTTACTCAAGTTTTTGCTATATCTTCTGATGGAATGTCTGTAAGTATGAACCCAGAAAAAATTAATTTTCCCTTGTCTGTATTGTAATTTCAAAGCATATAATTTTAGACTAAGAAAAAATACCATAACTGAATGATTGATTATTCATAAAAAATGTAATTTATGAGCTTATTATACTCCTGTTTCTGTAAAATATCTTTTAGAAATTTGAAGCTGTGTAGTGACATATATTTGATTCCAAAACTGTTCTTCATGATAGATGATAAAACGTTTCCTTTTGAGAGCTATGCTGCCTGATAAATTTTCTGTATTTTAAAGAAACTGCCCTTGTTCAAAAAGGCAGTTGGCCAATTCATAAACTAAATTGTAGATTCTCTTGAGATAGAAGTCTAGTTTTTTATTTGAAAAAAAATTGAGTACTACCCTTATCATATCTTCATCTAACTTGAGCTGCTGTTCTTTCAAGAACATTTTCAAAAAATATTTTCCATTAAAAAAAATCATCCTATGAATAGTCTTAACAAGTCCAGGATTTTTAATTTCACACCAGCAGCATTAGGTTGTGTGCAGCTACATAGTAGAAAGATTGTTTTACTTGATAGCAATGATGTTGTCATAATATATACTATAAACTTCACAATCAACTCAGTGAAACTACAGCAAATATCTAACTGCATAGAGCTAAGTAACAGCCGTTACATCAACTTGTCTTAAATGTAGTGCACTTTACATGTGTAATTGCAGCACTAGCAAAGGCAAACATTTCAATTGTCCAATACCGTATTTGACGGCATATAAGACGCACCCTTATTTAGATGGCCACGCACAAGTAAAAAAAGTTTCAATAGCGTGCTTTCTTTTAGTTCTCACATTTCATAAAAGCCAAATGAACAATTATTAAATGCAATTACCTTCACGTATAAGACGCAGGTAACTTTTTTGAGATCAAATTTAGGGAAAAAAGTGCGTCTTATACGCCGTCAAATATGGTACATTGTAAAGATATTTTGTATTATTTTTCCTTTAATCAATTTTGACGTATATGTTATACATCAGTTCACATGATTACAGCACTGAGTCTTTGTTATTTATGTACAAATCTGATGAATAAATACTGTTTATTAATTCCCAAACATGACTCTTTTGACAGATTTATTTGTACAAAGTGAAATCTGGCTTCCTTTTATCTGATAAGCCACCTCCTAAGCCTCGAAAACTTCATCAAATTCAGCATTTCAGTCATGATAATTTGCCTGAAATTCATTGGAAGAAATATCTTTATGCTTCAAAATTTATCAACTTCGTTAGAGCACAGGTGCCAAAAATTACTTTATATGGGAAGCTTGCCAAATGCATCATGATGGAAAATAGCCCAGATCCTGATTATGAAATGCTTTTCTATGATGGTAAATATGATTTGCTATTTAAGTTAATATTTTATTTATTAAATTTTAAATTGTTCAAAAAATATTTTTATTTATGTCTTTTTTGGAAAAACAAATGATTTGTGGGAGAGTCCAGTTTCTAAAATCTTAAATATTTAAACAAAATATTTTGTTAACAAAAATGCTGTTTTTAGAATGGGATATTTTTAATGCTTTCATATAAATTAATTTTTTGTTTTAATGCATAATTAGTTTAGGGCTATATCTTTCATAAAAGATATAAATGCATGCATTTTAAAATATCAAATTATTTACTGTTAAAAATAATGTGATGGAATCATGTTAAGACATTACCATTTTTCTTATGAATTTAATTTATGTTAAATTGTAGAAACACATGCTTTGTCATATAATTTAGTATTCATTAAAGTTTAGATTACGAAATAAGTTATGGTTTTACTGCTTAGATTTTAATTTGTCTGGAGAGAATTTTTTTCTAGTTGCAGTATTAAGCAATACTAATCTCAAAGCAAATTTTAATTTAGGAATGGGCACAAATTATTGTCATTTAAATTGGTGGGGAAAATCTGGAAGTATTTTACTTAAATCAATAAATCAAATGCTTGGAAAAGGAAATTCAATTTTTGAGCCTTTTATGTACTAGACATTAATTTAGCAATTATTTAGTTAAAACTTCAATCTTAAGCTTTTATCTGAAATATCTAGAGAAATAAGACTTTAAATAATCATGTTCTGTTTTGTGTACTCTTAATGAGTATAAATGGGTAAATATTTATAATCATGAAGGCATTTAACATTTTTTCAGGGGGGTGGGTAATGAAAGACAAACAGAGAAACTAAAGCCATTTTAGATTTAAAATGCAGATGAAGTTTTCTTGAGACGTCTACGTGAGACTAAGGTTACTATTTATATTTGTGGTCTTGGCAAGAGTAAGTGCCACAGATGATTTCTGTCGAAAGTTTGATATTTTTAATCATAACTTCTTCAGAACATTTTGCCATTTTAGCCTGATTTGCATTCTTTACAGTAAATTGAAAAATTCATCTCAGGCAAAAAATGGAATTGACTCGTGAACCTTTTTCATGCGATTATTTTTCGTAACTTTCGACGTAGATTATCGAAACAAGAGTGCTTCAATGAACTTAATTCTTCATACAGCGATAAAGAACTATCCTACAGGACTGTAAAAAAACTGGTATGATGGATTCAATCATGGTCGATGTTTGTTCCAGGATGATTCCGGGAATGTTGTCCAAAATTGATTGTTATGCCAGAAAATATCAATGCTGTTTGTGAACCTATAGAGCAAGATCATCATGTGACTTATCTTGAGATTTAAGGCATCTTTGGGCATTAGTATGATAAGCATCAATAAAATACTACATGAGCATTTGGCCGTAAAAAAAATTTATTTGCGTTTGATTCCACATAGTATGACAAATACTCAAAAGAAGGCTTGTGTCAATTGGTGCAAGGAAATGTTAGAAAAATACGTTCAAATTGCAACAAAGGTTATGCATAATATCTATGCAGGTGACAAATCACAGATCTATGCATATAAGCCCAAAGCAAAACAGCAGTTGATTGTATGGGTATTCCAAGATGCGCCAAATCTAACAAAAGTTGTTCGCGGAAGAATCACATCAAAGCAAATGGTTGCCTGTTTCTTCGGCATTACCAGTAACGTGATGACAGTGGTGTTAGAGCAATGCAGGATGGTCAATTCTGAATGCTACACGACCATTTGTTTGCTAGAAGTCATCAGAGAAGTTTGAAAAAGCAAAAAAAAAGTGGAATCATTCTTCATGATGACAATGCGAGCACTCGTACATTTGCTCAAACAAAGGAATTTTCGATGGGCCAAAATATTGAATTGATGGGTCATCTGCTATACAGCCCTGATTTGGCACCAAATGACTTTTTATTCCCTTACATCAAAAATAGGTTACGTGGTCAGCGATTTGCAACACCTGAAGAAGCGGGTGATGCATTTAAAGCACATGTTTTGGAGTTACCTCAATCGGAGTGGAAAAAGTGCTTTGAAAATAGGTTCAGATGCATGCCAAAGTGTATTGATCTTCATGGTGAATATTTTGAAAATCAATAAAACCAATTTCGATTATAAACATTTGTTTTTCCATTATTAGGCCAGAAAAAGCAATCCTTGTATATGTGATTTTTCTAAGCACTATATCTTTGTTCACATAGCTAAAGGAACTTCAAATTTATTACGAAAATTCTTTTTTCGTCCATCTGTATACACAATTTTTAACAAAACTCAAGCTATCAGATGTGTGGTTACTGTTTACTGTAGTCTCCTTTTTTAATTAGGTGCATAAAATGAACAGTATTTTAAATATCTTACCTAAAATGTTATACAATATATTCATTATTGCATAGTTATAATTTTCTGTAAGAAATCCAAAGTTTTGATCCTGCAATAAATTATTTCTATTAATTATGGAAAAAAAAGCACTATTTCTGCCACTCAAAAGTCGTTAATCCAGACCTCAAAGCTACTAATTTTTGCGCTGGGGGGGGGGGGGGGGTTGGGGGGGGGGTGGGGGTGCGTTTCGGGGGGGGGGGGGGGGGCGGGGGAAAAGGGGAGGGGGGGGGCGGGGGGGGGGGGGGCTGGAGGGGGGGGGGGGGGGGGGGGTGGGGGGGGGGGGGGGGGGGGGGGGGGGGGGGGGGGGGGGGGGGGGGGGGGGGGGGGGGGGGGGGGGCAGGGGGGGGGGGGGGGGGGGGGGGGGGGGGGCGCGCTGCCGCATGCGCATATGCGTGTACGCACGCGCATAATACATTTACACATGCGCGTTTAATGTATAACGGACGGTATAAGCTAAGCTAAAATTATCTAATTATTTATTTCAGTTAATGTTGCAGATTGCGTTGTTGCTTAATCTTCGAATTGGATCCGGCTTATTATTTTTTGCAGACTGTTAGAGCAATTTTATAAAAGTAAGCTTGAACTTTCGATTATGTTAAAAAGAATTTCCGATTCTGGAGCTGCCAAAGGATTTACAAAGCGAAAGCATGTTTCGAAGTCCATCAAACAAAAAGTTGAATTGCTGCGAAAAAATGGATAAAGGCATATCCTTTGTTTCTCTAACCATTCCGAAATCTGTTTATCAATTTCACGCTGCTCTGCTGGGGAGGGGAACGTCGCGGCGTGCAATGAACTGGAAGTTGATCTGTCAGCACTATCCTTATCTTCAGGGCAGATGCTTTAATTTTATTCGGCTTATAATTCATTACTAAATGTAGTATTTCATCTCGATGTACTCCGTCTTTGATATGATTTAAATCAAATTCATTAATATCACGAATACACATCAAATAGTTTTCTGGTTGCAATTTTCTAATTTCGACTATGCGTAATGTATGCTGTACGCATGTGCGCGTTGAAAGAAATGTTTAATAAAGTAAACAAATAAATATTCAGTAAATATTCGTTTTTTTTTTTTTTTTTTTTTTTTTTTTTTTTTTTTTTTTTGTAAATTTTGTACATTTTGATACCCTTTAGATCATAATTGTTCTTTATTTCATAAATTACGGTTTGATACTTTTAATTTTATAATTTCTGCATGCCATCTTACCAGATTTAAACTGATGATCTATAATCCGGAATCGCCGAAGTCCCGACGAGTCCGGATTAAAGACTTTTGACTGTATTCTATTTTGAAACCCTTAAAGCTGACATAAACATGAGGATAAACTGTGAGTCTTTTTAATATAATTATTAAACACCCAAAATTTCACTATTTTCATATTTACCTAACAGGTTATATTTCATTCTTTTTGTTGATAATACTTTTATTTATTTATTTTTACAGGTGAAAAAATAGTTAAAATTTCCGATAAATTTACCATTACTGAAAGAAGTGGTAGAAATTACACTTTCACATCTCCTGAAGATTTAAGCAAAGAATATGAGCATATATGGAATGAATTTGTTAAAGTAACTAAATTTCTAAATTATAATCTTATTTTTGAATTTTGATTTCATAATAATATTTTTCTTATAACTTTATAAAAAATAAATAAATAAGTAAAGGAAGATGAAGAAGTCTCTGTGTAAAGATTATTAAATTCTCCCAATTACATTATAAATATTCAATTTTCAGAAAATTGTGCTGTCAGAAACTGAAGGCTTGTAAAATAAAAGTGTAAAATAAAATATGGATATAAATTTACATTTAGTGATTTATAGCATTACATTTTTACGAAAACAAAATAAAATACTGAAATGATATCAGTAACTCAACAACTGCCATATATTTCATACATAGAAATTTTAGGGAAATGATTGTTTCAGTTTTTTAATGGGAATAGGAGTTTTGTATTCCCTGTTAATAGCTCAAAGTATTGACTGAATGCAACTATATTTTTATCTCTCAGGTGAAAATTTTAACAAATTATTATTTATTTTATAATTTGACCTTCAGAATGAATAGCTGATTTCAGAATTTTTCAGAATGAATAGCAGATTTATAGCAGCAGATTTCTATAGAACATTAATACTGAGAGTCTAGAATATTAAAACTTGATTTAAGTATTTAAGGCTTCTAGATTCAGCTATTAAAAAATAGGTATTTTGTTTTGAAAGTAAGATTCTTCTAACTTCTATGCTTCTCACATCTTTTAATTTTATTCTTTTCTCTCTTTATTAATGTTTCTTCAATAATTCTTGCTGTGTTTTATATTCAAACTTGTCAGTTTCCTACTACCTAAAACTGCAATTGTAGTCAAACTCATAGCTAATAAAACTTACATCACCTAATCTTTCTGCATAAGTTTAGTTTTGAAGTTAGTTTTTGGTTATTTTTCCAAACATTTTCCTAATAGACTACATACAAAATTAAATAATAATAATAATGCTTTAGGATGAATTTTACAGGAATGCTTATTACCTAAATAAGGCAATGATTGTCTGATTACCCTATCGGTAGACAATGAAATTTGAAAGCTTACGGAGTTAATTTTAATCATCATAAATAATCATACATTATTAATTATATCTTTTATATGTACTATTAGAAAAATAATAAATATAAAAGTTATAATAAATCTTTTATATTTATTATTAGAAAAATAATAAGATATAATTAATATTATTTGATAAATTGTTACAAAAGTGCAAATGTGAGGGGATGGCTCTGAATAGAGAAGGGCCTGGTTTGAAAAGGATGGTGTCTTGTAGAACAGCAGAATTAATATGAGCATTAATGATATATGTTCAGTTAAATATTATATATATATTCTAAATAAAAGTAATTAAAAGTAAATTAAAAAGCCTATGACCTTGTGCTAAACCTGCAAATTAATAAACCAATAATTCATAATAATTTATAATAAGAAAACTTTCCATATACTATCTCCAAGGAGCAGAAATTCAGTTTAAAACCAAGAATTGTGAAAAGAAAAAAATTTTAGTCAGTATTTGAATTAGTATTTTTAGACCTCCTTTGCTTTAAAAACATAAAAATCTACAAAGAAAATCTTTAATTGTAAAATTGCCAAAATCAAAGTAAAATTTTTATTTTAAGTATTGAAAACGTAGCTATTGTCATTGATCACAGACTAATCGACTTATCAAGGGAAATAAACTCATCTACCATCAATCAACAACAACTAAATTAAGAGAGATTATTTCGTCTTACTTCCAAGTAAGCATCAAATTTTTTGCTACATCCAAATCATAATTCACAAATAATACTCAATTAAAATAAAGACATTAGTCCATTTAAGACAAAAGAATTCTATTAAAGCCAAAAGAATCCTGTTAAACAAAATAAATAGCAAATAATCTTTAATATTAATTGTTCACTTAGAACACAACTAAACGGGATGCTTACTTTAGGATCCCACTCTCATTTCCCCAACTTTATCCCCAACACTCTCATTTCAAACTCAAAAGTATACAATTTAGAACATTAAAAAAGTAATTCAAAATCATAAGAAGATAAAAAATCATAAAATACTTAAAATTAAAGTTTAAAACACATAGTTAATTAGAAATTTAAAGATTAAACTAGGAAATTAAAATTAACTAACTTACCTGCAAAATTTTAAAACCCAATGGCTGGAAATGCAAGTATTTAGTGAAAGAGTTGTCATTAAAATGTAGTTCTCTATTTAAGAAAGGTTAGCCTTAAATTGGCAAGAAAACTGGAAAGTTTCTTGGAGGTACTCTTGTAATGGAGAGTTGGCTGTTAGTAAACTAGTGCTAAAAGCTGCTGTTAGTTAGAATATAAATTGTAATTAAAAAGCCTATGACTTGCACTAAAGCTGCAAAGTAATAAGCCAATAATTCATAAGAATTTATAATAAGAAAACTTTCCATATATCATCTCCAAGGAACAGAGATTCAATTTAAAACCATGAATTATGAAAACAAAAAAAACTTTTTAGTCAACATTAATTAGTATTTTTAAATTAGTATTTCTAGACCACCACTTAATACTTGCATTTCCAGTCATTTGGTTTTAAAATTTTGCAGGCAAGTTAGTTCATTTTAACTTCCTAGTTTTCTCTAAATTTCTAATTAACTGCTTGTTTTAAACTTCAATTTTAAGAATTTTATCATCTTTTATCTTCTTATGAATTTGAATTACTTTTTAATGTTCTAAATTGTATACTTTTGAGCTTGAAATGAGAGTGTCCGGGATATATCTTCTAAAGTAAGCATCCTGTTTAGTTGTGTTCTAAGTGAAAAACTTTAATTTTAAAGATTATATGCTATTTAATTTGTTTAACAGGATTCTTTTGCCTTAAATGGACTAATGTCTTTATTTTAATTGAGTATTATTTGTGACTTATGATTTGGATCTAGCAAAAATTTTATGCTTACTTGGAAGTAAGATGAAACACTCTCTCTTAATTTAGTTGTTGATTGATGGCAGATTAGCTTATTCCCCTTGATACAGTTAGTCAGCAATCAATGACTATAGCTACTTTTTTAATACTTAAAATTTTTACTTTTGATTTTGGTAGTTCACAAGATTTTTCTCTGCAGATTTTTATGTTTTTAAAGCAAAGGAGGCCTAAAAATATTAATTTAAAATACTAATTCAAATACTGACTAAAAATTTTTTCTTTGCTTTATTTTCGGTTTTAAACTGAATTTCGTTTCTTGGAGCCATCTCCAAGAATGGAAGGAAGGATATATGGAAAGATATATGAATATATGCTCCATATGGAAAGTTTTCTTATTATAATTATAAAACTAGAATTTAAAAATAAAAAGTTTTATTTATTAATTCTTCTGAGCCTTGTACGGATGTGCAGCATTCAGTATGAAACTTTCTAAAAAAGCAAAATATGTTAAAATTGTAGAAAATATTTTGAGTACCTTTCAAGCAGACAATGTAGACTCAGTGGTAGAATAAGAGACTAAAACTGACACAAAATTCATTCAGTATGAAACTTTCTAAAAAAGCAAAATATGTTTAAATTGTAGAAAATATTTTGAGTACCTTTCAAGCAGGCAAAGTAGACTCAGGTAGTGGTAGAATAAGAGACAAAAACTGACACAAAATTTATAACAGGAGTACTAATTATAATACAAAATTTCCTTGAAAACATATTAAATCACATGGAAGACAAAAATGGATTTGTTTAAATTTATAATGCCAATTATAATCCTTTTAATTCTGAAGGAAAAAATAAAGAAAAAGTATCTTAAAAAAAAAGAGAGAGAGAGAAAGTTGATACTATAATTTCATCTTACCATAAAAGCAAGGCTTGTTGTATGTCAGAAATGAACAACTTTTTATGGAATCTTCAATAACAAAAATTAGAACAAGTTTTAGTAAAGCGAAGAAGGAAGATAATTGTAACAAAATATTTTACAAGAAAAAGAGAATCTTCATAAAATATATTCATTTATCATTCTTTATGGAATACATTCACAGACACATACGTGGTAAACCATGACTAATCTTTACAAGCAATAAAATGTGATATGCAAACAATGCAAGTTGCCAGACAGTTGCAAATTAAAAAATAATCCACGTCATTAGCTGAATATGAAATTTTCTTTTAGTTTTTGCTTTATGTTGTGCAATGTATGTCAAATATATAATCATTAGAAAAGAAAATAGAAATGTTCATATATGATAGATACTGATATAACCATACTACAAAATATTTTATTAACAAAAAAATAATAAAAATTAGCTTTTTTAATATAAGCAGATAGCTTTCGTGTGCTCTTCCGTGTTAATAAGTATATATTAAAAAGAAATTGTCATACATTAACTTGCATACCTTATTTTCTGAAGTGAGAAGTTGCTTTATATAGAATTCACATTTTGTTACAGGAAAAGCAAATTTCATCATTTATGACAACTGTTTTTAAGAATCTAAATACAGAAAGCAGGTTCATTCAGTATATAACAGATAAATGAGTAATAATAATTGATGGTATATGCAGGAGCAATAATAATTAATAAATTATTATTACTCATGAATAAATTTTTATAAATTATTATTACACTGCCTTTAGGTTTTGGCTACTTTCGTGTATGTGTTTAAATTATTTGTTGTGTGGTTTTTTTTTTGAATAAAAAAATTACCAAAAGTATGACAAAATTTCCATTGTTTTTGCTGTGTGTGAAGACAATAAAAGTGATTTCAAACAGCATCAGATGTGTAATTCGGTGTTTTTCGGGTTGAATTGCTGTGCTTGATCTTTACTGTGAAAGGGGTTTGAAAATCTAATATTGGTTTGAGATCAGTGCAATTTTTAATATGTAGTGATTCTCTCTCTTTATTATGGTTATTGCAGAATATCGGGTGTTAATCAATGTATTGTAATACTTTATGACAGATGAAAGAAAAATGTGAAATATTAGAGAAACATTTGGAGTGTCTGAATAATAGTAGCAACTGGGCTGATCAACCACTGTTTCCTGTAGTTATCGGAAAGTAATAAGGCATTCAGTTTAAAATTTTTGTTTTCTTTTCTAATTATTTTGAATTTTGCCCCTCCCCCCTTGCATATTTCGATGAATAAATTATTATTTATTTTTTCAGACGACCTACAGCTTTAACTGATTTGAAAAATGGCAAAGAAAATGATACTCCTCGATCTTCAAGGTCATTCACTTTAAGTGGACTTACACAGAATGTAGGTTTATGGGATTATACAAAGTGTTATAGTTTAATATCCTTCTATTCTTGAAAACATGAATATGAATTCTTATTATTATAATATTTCAAATTTATTTTCAGATGATTTCTTATGATCAAACTATTGATACTGACTATAGCCCATATAGTAATTCCTCACAAAAATATGTTTCAAAGCTACAAAATACTTCTTCAGATAAGATCTGTGGGCTGCAAAATATTAAAGAAATACTTGCAAAGTTAAAGGAGTCACCTAAGGTATTTATTTATAAATCATTAATGTTTTAGCAAGATCTCTTTGACTGTTAAGTATTTCTTATGCATCTGCATTTGAAAGAAATTTCAAACATAACATATAACATGAAACTTTTTTCTCAGTTTACATACAAATTTTAAAAGTAGTGTGATTTAAAAAATTTTCAAGTAATTATCATTTTAAATGTATATAAAAAATTAAAGGAATGATAAAATTGCATGTTAAATAAACATTGAATATAATTTTTATGTTGTAGTATCACCTTAAATATTAACAAAAAATGAAATCTTTTTCTTCAATATTATGCAAATTCTGATTTTGTTTTATGATTTTATAAATAATTATTTTAAAATTTACTTTAATTGTAATTAAATGGTAAGTGTGTTAAATCAAGAGTGTTTTTAATTATTATTTGTGAAAAAATATACAATGAAATCTTTTTAAGATAATCACTGATGTTTCCAGATGGTTTTGGAGTAGGTTCCATCCAAAACCAGTTTTTGTTTTGGATGGTTCCAGATGGTCATAACTTTAGAGAACTTAACTTTTTAGCAATGCCAATAATTGATTTGCGTAGTGAGTTCATCCTAGTGTGAGCTCTTGAGATATGTTAAAAGTTACTGAAGCAGAAATTTGGCATTCAATTTACTCCTTCCACAGGAGTGAATTTGGTATAACTGTGGTATGCTATCAAAACTTAACTGAGTTCATTATTCCTAGATCCAAATTTATATATATTAATCTAATCCAGTCTTAATTAATCTAATCTTAATTTTTTAATCTAGTTAATGAAATTTTACCTATCATCTGGAATTTTCGATTTGCATTTGATTTCACTTTAAGCTCATATATTTTTATCTTTTGAAAACATAATCATAAGAATTTTGTTTTTAAATCAATAATGATTCTTTTTTCTGTTAGAGCTTTGCTTCATAGGTGCCATTTTACTGTTCTTATATGTTAAGTCTCAGTGATAAGAGCAGTATCATATAATCCAAAAACTTAAATTTTTGATAAATTTAAAAAAAATCTCTTTTTGCACAGAAGTAAAGTGTAAAGAAAGAGTAAGAGGATATGAGTTCGAACTCATGAATAAATTATTATTTTTGACATTAAAAATTTGGAAACTTAATAAGATTTATATAAATTGTTAGGACTAATATTGTTTTAGATGTATTATTTTAATTTTCAATGCTTGAAACCTTTTTAATGATTAAGCACAGTAATTAAATACAATTTAGATTATTTTTTCTTTCTTTTAATAATGAACTTATTTTTTGTATGCTAATTTATTTTCACAATTGATGATTTGCATTGTAATTGGAATTTTATGTAAGAAAGAAAAAGAATGCAAAAATACTATAAAATTAATTTGTTAAACTTCAATCATTAATAGATTGGATTTGATCTATCAGAATTCTAGCTGTGAGTTTTTCAATCAATGTTGTTGTTTTGTTTGTGTGTGTGTGTATGAAAATATTTGTTTAGAAGCAAGCTTTGGTTATTGAATTATATTTTGGTTCTAAACAGGCTGATGTGATACTTATTATTTGTTTCACTTTTTAATGATCTTTCTTTGATTTAGATTAAGAATGATAAAGTTTTTGTTGAATATAAAGATGGTGTTCAGATGTGGAGTTCAAAAGATGGGACAAATGTAGAATTCTTTGATTTCAATAAGGGATGGAAATGCAGGTTCTGTCAAAATTTATAATTATCTCAGTATATTTAAAAGTATAAAATTATTTCATTTATCCAGAAGTTTAAATTATTAGTTTAGTTAATGATGCAGCAAATAACTAAAAGATTATTGTATGTAATGTTCTTAAAATATTCTTAAAACTGTATAAATATGTTAGTGTGTTAATATTATGTGTTTTAAAAATATAAAATGCAGTCTCTTTTTTAAGTTGTCAGATTATCTTTAGTAAAGCCAATAAAATCTCCAGCTTTAATTCTTTACTTTTGTTTTAAGCTGTCACACAATTATCTTGTCCATGGGTCGTATGTCTTATCGTATTAGAACTTCTAGCTATATCTATGTTTTTAAAGTTCCATATGCATGTATAAAAGCTCCTTTTTCAATATGCAATAGTGTACAAGGTGTGACACACACACACACACACACACAAAAAAAAAAAAAAAAGAGAGAGAGAGAGAGAGAGACTGGTCTAATAAATCATTGTATTTACAGAATCAGTTCTTGATGACATTATCACCTTCAAAGTAATTCTCTTCAGCATTCACACACTTCTGCATTCGGTGCCACCATTGCTGGTAACAGTTCTGGAATGAGGTTTTTAGGAGATTCAGGAGATTCTCCGTTTTTGCCTGAACCTCTTCAGCTGAGGTAAAATGGGTTCCCTTTAAGTAAGATTTAACTTTAGGAAATTAAAAAAAAAAAAAAAATCACATAGAGCCAAATCAAGTGAATAAGGAGGATGCCCCATACAAGATGAACGTGCTGAGCAACCAGCATGTTTATCATTTTCTACACTGTCTCTTTCCCCTCAAAACCGCTTATGCCATTCAAACACACGTACATGAGACAAAGTTTCATCTCCATAAGTCTTGGGTAACATTTGAAATGTTTCCTCTGTGGCTGATTTCTTAAGTTTCACAAGAAACTTGATGTTGATTCACTGTTTGGTGTTTAAATTAGTCATTTTTCTGGCAGAATGCAGTTGCATGTGTCCACTCAATGATGCAGTACTCCGGACTGGCGTGGTCAGTTAAGTCAAAACTGGCCGCATGGATAGAGGAGGTGTGTGGCATGACATCACCAAAACAGTTGTTGCCAACTCTGTTTTCAAGCTACACACTTAATCTCTTTTTTTGTGTGTGTGTGTGTGTGCATGTATGTCATACCTTGTATATTTGAAAAGAAATGTAAGATTTTACTCCTGTTGATATACTTACCATGTCAGCTTCACATATTTCTTCTTATTTTCTGTAATTAACCTATAATGCATTTATTTATCTTAAAACAGCTAGTAATTGCAGCAATTAGTTTATAGAGGTGTTTACACATTTTTAGATCAGTTTCAGTGCTGTTTAATTAAATTTTAAAGTGCAAAGAGTATTTTTTAAATTATTTGGTCTGATAGAATTTTTTCAGAACTGTAAGTCTGCATCATGATCTCCATGATAGAATGGCTTTTCGTAAAATTTCTAGGGTTATTGATTTCCCTTCCTCTTCTACTACTTTCTAGAGTCCCTCAATTGTGGTGTGCTTATGCTTAAAACGAGTTATTTTCAAGATACCAAAAGCATAGTAATCCATGAGTGAAATGTCAAGGTGCTTTGCAGGAATACATTGAAAAGATATATATGCAAAACCTGTATCAGGTTTTATTTATTTATTTATTTATTTTTTCAATAAATATAGTGGTACTTTTTGAAGTATTGCTTTGCCTTGATGAAGTTTCGCTCTTTGAAAGTCACTGGGATAAAGAAATGGAATTTCTTCTGTAAATATTGTATGTAAAACTTTCTCTTGATAGTATGCTGAATTGATTTTCACTCTTCTTATTTTTAATTTCCCATTTTAAGAGAATCCTTCGACAATCATAAACCCCCTCACTGAAATTTTCTTTTGAGTGACAAAACCAGGTCTAAACATTTTTTTCTCTTCGTTGTCAATAAAAATATACCTTTTTTGGTGCAGTCATTTATGTAAATCAAGCTCCATCAAGGGTCCATACTCCATAAAGGCTCACAAGTGTATTTCCATTTAGCTTCTACTAAGTAGTTTTCATACAGGGTTCTACAAATTGTTCTGCTTTGAGCCACATACTTTGGCAAAAGCTGGCAACATTGTTTTTTCAGCTTTCTTAGGTTGTAAATATTAGTTTATTATTTTATTACTTCCTTGTACAAAGTAAAAAAGAACTATTGTAATTGAAAAGTTTCAGGCAGCATATTTCAACGAAAATATCCATTTTGACCTCTATTGAATGCAGTTTAACAATGTTTTTGCATGACATCTGTACTTTAGGACAGAATAAAAAACTCTTTTCCTCTAAAAAAATCATAAAACTGCTTTAAAATGAATTGAGGAGAATTTTTCGTGGTGTCTGTAAGTACCTATCTCGCGTAACTCAAAAATGAGTAGCCTTAGAACGTTGTAATTTCGTATATAACATGTAGATGTGCACCTCGTATTTTGGTTGCAATTGGATGCACCAAACGTAGTATATAAATATATTTATATATAAATATACTCTGTTACCCGTCTCAGTAATCTCAGTTTCTTTACTCCTATATGGTTGCAAATTGTGCATTTTTTGCTTTAAAAATGATTGAATTATGTTGATCTTATCTTCCGGTTAAGGTTTTTATGCCTTTAGTTAAATCTGCAAGTAATATGTCTACAATTATCAACAATCTAAAAGCTGCTTAAGTGCGGTTAAGCCTAATGTTTAAATAACATGGCGAACATATTTGTTTACATTTGAAACAGCAGAATAATAGATTTGTTGCCAATCTAGAGAGACTAAGCTTCGAACCACAAAGATAAAGCCTTCTTTTATATTGCGAATTTAATCATGCTTAATCCATTCTGGATTTATTCAAGAAAATAAGTGTTTAAGTTTTACTTCGTAATTTTTAATATAGACATTTTGAGTTTTTATGTTTTTTTGCCTTGTCGCAAAGTGAGAACTGAATTAATTGAATGAGAAATACTGAATCATCTGTGAAAAACTGTTTCTTTTTTGTTTTGTTTGCTTAATTTATCTTATACATCGTTCTAGATTTATTATAGTATTTGAATAGAACATGTGACAACGATTAGATAATTCTTCAAATGATATAACTTATGTGCATTCTCAGTTATAATATGAACGAAATATAATGCTGACAAGTGAACATAGCACCAGAGTGTCTTTATGGTAAACAAATATAGTGAATTTTATTAAAGAATGCATTTATTCTACTGTGGTTTATGTCCTATTGACGAAGTAGATTTAATTCAATCTAATAAGTATAAATGAATGCAAGAAAAAATGTGTATAAATTATCAAGCCAATGGTTCAGTCTTTAATATTCTGTACATGGAAGTCATGCGGTGTACACATCAGATTTTGTTTTGTTGCTACAGGTATCTTTAAAGACTTTGCAATTTATTTCTGCATCAGCAAATTTTTATCTTTAGAAACAGTATATACTTTTTCAGGGTATTTGTTTGGAGTCTTCTTTTTATGTAGAAGTATCAACTCAGTTTCTCACTTTCTGATTAATAATATTGATTATTTTGCACTTAGGAATTTTAATAACATGCATTTTTCAATATATTTTAATTATGCAATAGGGCTGTTTCTCTTCGGAAAGCACTAAAATATATGCTTTAATCCACACCTAGTTTACATACAACATTTTGAAAGAATAAATTTGAAAGTAGGTATTTCTCATTACAAATACTAAGCTCTTGCCAGAAATTGTTATTCAAAAACTTTTTTTAAACATCTTCTGTACAATGTGTATTAGCTAATTCAACTTCTTTTGTAATACAGGTATAATGACTTTTCTTTGGAAAATCTCCAACATCACCAGTAATATTTTCTGTAAGCCCTACTGGGTTATTGAGGGTTTATGATACTATGTTAAACATTATGAATAACTTATGGGAATGTTGGATCCTTTTTGCTTCCTTGTATGAAGTAAACGAAGTATTGTAATCACGAAAAATTCCAGGTATCATATTTCAACAAAAATATCCATTTTGACCACTACTAAATGCAATTTAACATGTTTTTGCATGACATCTGTACATAAGGACAGAAAAAAGGACTCTTTATATCAGCTTTATAACTCTTTTTCCCCAAACGAAATATAAAGCTGATTTAAAACGGATTCAAAAGAGGTTTTTTTTTCATGGCATCTGTATGTACATATGTATCTCGCATAACTCAAAATTGAGTAGCCTCAGAACTGAAAAAAACATCATGCATATTTATCACTCTTATTCATTTGAATTGTAGCCCAAAACCACTATTAGCCTGGAAAGAGGAGTTTGCATTGCTTCACTTTTCGTTCAAGTCTTTTGCCATTCAGAAAAAATGAAACATATTATTCTATCATATTTCATCTGTTTGTTATTAATTGACAAACTAAACTATTTAAAAGCAACAGATGCAGTTCTTAAGAATATTATTTTTTAAAAAAATTTATCTGATTTATTGTAATAAAAATGCATTTATTTCATAATATATATAATGAAAAACATTAAATGTTTTTATAGAATTGCAGTACATATTTTTTCACTTTTTAAATATACAGAAGATATGTAAACTCATGTTAGTTTAAATGCATATTCATCTAATATGGTATAAATGTTCTGCTATTCCACCTGTGCCATTTCTATCAATAATCTCTACTGATAAACCATATTAATATTTAAAAGAACCTTCTGGGTGATTGTTAAAATCTGAAAATATTCAGAATGTTAAAATCTGAATCCTTTCAGATTTTTTCCCCTTAGTTATATTTTTTATAAGTATTATTTTGACTGAAGTTTTTTCTTGCATGTTAGTTTAAGCATCTTCTGTATAAGAGAAATGTAGATATTTTATTACACCTTCTGGGTAAATGTAATAAAATATCTAGGTTTCTCTTCTGGATCTCTATATAAACAGTAGATTTTTCTAGAATAATTTTTTTTTTCTTATCTATTTCAGTTCTAAGGAAGCAAAATATAATTCTGAACTTAAGAAAAGGATCCAGAATGATCTGGCTGAAATATTATGTTTTATGGCATCAAAAGATAGCAAATGATTCGGTGACAAACTGTCAGTATTTTAATTTTTTAGGAATTATAAATTTCGGTGAGTAGTATTGTTTGGAGCAAATAAAAATGGCTTTTCTATAGTAAATCTGCTTGAATAATAATCTTGCAGATTAAAATTGTATTACTTTAACCAGAAGTATTTATATGAAGAAATGGCTTCCTCACTTTATTAAAATGGAATACAGTTACACTCCTCACATTAAGAAAAAAGTTTGATACAAATATGGAGACTATGAAAATTGAAAGAAATTTTGTAATCTAAAAATTTAGAGATTTGTAAATAAATCAAGTTATTTTTAATAGACTTTTACATCTATGATTATAACAGACAGATAAATTGTTTTACTATGCTTCTTAGTGTATATTTATTACATGTGTGTGTGTGTTTATTTAGTTTTAATTCAATGTGTTTTGATGTATAATGTATGTGTTTAAGCATGTATATATAATAAAAAGTGATGTATTTTACATTGCATGGCTTAGGTATATATAAGCTGAATGGTATTTTACTAGAAGTTGCCATACTATTTTTAAGCCATAAATAGCTATAGACATTTACAGCTTGTATAACAAAATGGGACTTGTATTTTTATATACACTAGTGTGCAAAACATAAGCAAGTTTTCTGAGTTTGGCCATAATTCCTCAAAAAATCAATTAAGAGACACTAATTTCATACTATAGAGGCATAATGTACTATTTAAAGGATAAGAAAAGCACAGTAGGGGAGGAAAAAAAAATGGATAAAAACCATACAGTATACAACAAATATAAAAAGGCTTTTTTGACAGAATGGCATTGGTATAAAACACTATCTGGTTAAGGAGGAGAATAACAAACCAAAGAGGAAGATGACCTCCTCTATTGCAATGGTTGTGTAACACCCTGCTATACTGGGTTCTACAAAATATTTATGTATATGCATGGCTAGATTTTCATATGATCAACAGGACTCTTGAAACAATAGCTTAATTTTAAATAACAAAATCTTTACGTATGACATAACTATTACACATTAAATTAACATAGATGATAACTGCATCAGAGAAAAATTACTAACCAAGGACAGTAGCGATGAAGCGTGAAGTGTTGTTATTTTGTCCTTAATCTGGTTGCAGTTGGAGATATGGGCATGCAGTTGGGGGTGAACACAAATTCACTTAGAGTCACCACAGTACTTTTCTTCCAGTGACAACAAAATTAAAGGTATTGAGGGTAAAATTAGACCCTACATCCAGAATGTGCATGCTGAAGAATATGTGGCTTCAGGGGTCCAGGCATAGCTGATGATGCAGTGGCAACTGGAGGTGTAGACACCAGGAGTGAAGGTGTAAATTCCCACAAAGGGAGGGTGACAGACATAAAAATCTTGACCGTTTCTGGTGTATAGATGAAAGTTGGCTTGAGATGATCAAGGCTCATCACTGTCTCTTTGTTTTTGATAAGTATCTGATAGTTCTTGGATGTGTGACATAGAACTAGATGTGGGCCTGTATAAGTAGGCTCCATTGACTTTTTTATGCATCACATCTTAAAAACACATCTCAAGAACCACTTAATTTGAAAGAGCTGAAATTCTTGAACCTAGCACACGTGAGTTCTTTTACACTACTGATAAAGAATTCAACTCACATGAAATAGATTCACAATCAAATCTTAAGTTCATTATCATCTTCAAGGACTAGCAAAACTCATGCACTGTTGCACTTTTCATTGGTGCTAATAGATGGTCAAGAGTTCCCATTCTTCAAGGAGCATCTGTTTCAGTTGTCTGGTGTTCTCCAGAAGCTAAGATCGTGCATCCATGCATCTCCCTAAGGTATCCCTCCCACACATGTTCAATGAGACTTAAATCAGGGGATTATTTCATTCTGGGGATATCTTCCCTTTCCATGAGCTCCTCGAAAGCATCAGTCCTGTATGGCCGTGCATTGTCATCCAATAAACAATGTTGGGACCAATAGTACTGTGGGAAAGATACAAATGGGAGAGGATAATTTCATCACAATATCTGGTAAGTGAACCTCTATCGAAAATGTGGAGCTCAGTCCATCAGTTCATCATAGTGCCTTCACATGCAAACATGCAAGGACCACCTCAGTTGTCTCTTTCACTAATGCTAGTGGGATGAAAGTGTATACCTACCTCTCTCCATGTCAACTGGTGCCGAGAATCATTCATTAGACTGAAATGACTCTTATTGGTAAAGAGGACAAGACTCCATTGATAAGGTGTCCAGTCTTTGTGTTCTCTACGCCACTGTAAATGGTACTGTCAGTGGTATGCAGGATAGTGGCTGAGTAGGCCACATTTATGAAGTTGCCTAGCCACAGTAAACTGGGACAGCTACTATCTATTAGTTATCAGTCACTGTTGTTTCCCTTGGCTGACTACCACCAACCTTTCTTACAGCTTTACCTATCATTTAGAAGCTTTGCAACTTCGCAAAACAGCACTTTTATCAATTCCAAACCCTTGGGTGATACATCAAATTACGGCCTCCTGCCCTGATTTTTTCTTATAGCCATAATGATGTACAATATCAAAAAATACACTTTCCTTTCTTCTTATGCTGATTCCTCACTTAGTGTGTGCCCTGACATACCCTCTGAGATCATGCCACTGATAGTTGCATATACATCACCTCCAACTGATCTGGTTTTCCACTGCACTGATCATAAAAAGCCCTTTTCAACAATTTATGGTTATATGCTGAAAAATGAATTTGTTGCTAAGTTTTGTATCTTAGTGTATGAATTTTAATCCTGATAAAAAAATTATGCCAAAGAATCCAAATACCATAATTCATACTACCTCAGAATTTTGTGTCACTGGAAACATACAAATAGATGTAGACAGTAAAATAACTATCATAATATGAAGCAAATGACAAAATTTGAATGAAGTGAAATAAAGGGTTCCCCAACAATAGCAGAAAAATTTAATTTGTGCCATTTTTGAAGTTATGCCTTGACAGAAAAACCATTATAACATCTTGATGGTAGGCAGTCCTCCATTACTCAAAAGGAATCCCCCTTTGACACAATAATGCATTATCATTAACATTATTTAAAAAATAGGGAAAGTTTGACTGGCACAATTTGCAAATTGCATCTAATTTTTGGCAAAGAAAATGTTCCAGATACATCAATTATGCAGAAAACAACTGAAAATTTTGAGGTGGCTGTGTCAATTACAGATGTCAGACCATTTACATGTGTTCGTCTAGGTTACTGAGCAGAAAACATCACAGCTGTTTGCCAGAACAGTGCAGGACTTATGTATAAGCTACACAAGCTAAAGCTGCCCCCCCCCCGAAAAAAGGTCTAGGTATCCGAAAATCATATTTGGCACTGACATATAACATCTGGACTTATAGAGGGCTCCATATCTCGAATAGCTTTCTTATGGCCTTATCAAGTCTAAATCAGGCCCTGCACCAGAATGTGGCTGAGAGTTCGACATTATCCATTCGATACCGTGCTCAAGAACGGAGTATATCAGGAAGCACTATGCAGCTTATTATTACAAGAGTTTTGTCATGCCTGCAAAATTCAACTGACTCAACATTTAAGCCTACAACAACAAAGTGAACAGTGAGGTTTCATATAAAATCATTTTCTGTGATAAAGCCCCTTTTCATTGTTGATGGCTTCATAAACAAGCAAAATTGCAGCATTTGGACATGTTTAACACCTTTGGCCTCCTTTCCCTAGGTTTTTTTTATTAAAGTTAGACGTTTATGTCAATAAGCCCTTAACTACCAAGCCTTGAAGGAGGAGATTAGTCTCTGTATCGCTGAAATCCAGCCACAATTATGGCAAAACGTAACTGAAAATTTTGTCAAAAGAGTGCAAATATGATTGTTCAATTCATAATTTTCACATGTCTTCTTTATAATTAAATCAAATTTTCAGCATTTTCTTCATATTAAAAAAAAAAAAGTTTTATTTAAAGTTTAAATTTTCTGCTGTTGTTGGGACACCCTGTATATACAAAAACAAAGAAAGTGTCAGTAAAAAAATGAAAATCCTTTGATAAAAGAAATCTATTATGTGCCATCTCATTGGGCAGGATATTTTAACAGAGTGAAGTCAAGATATATCCAGTAATAAACTCAGTTGAAAATTCTTATTAAATTTCCTGTCATTATTAACACTGTTTAATACTAAAATACAATCGAGTGTGAGTGAAATATATACTGTACATGTTTATCTGATATCCAGATAAAAAGCAATTTTTCAACATTCTTTAATGTCTGTGATCTTTGTTACTCAATTTCATGGCCTAACCAATGATAAGCGATTTAATAGTGTCGTCTTTCACAACTGTACAGGCTAAAGTACTCGACATGCAGTAATGCTATAGCCAAGTCCAAAATATATATATGCCATCTTCATATTTTTCAACAATCTTTATTCACCTCTACAGTGATCCTAACAATTTTCTTCATTGCTTGATTCTTTTTATTAGTTTTCCTAAAATTCATTGTTAATGAATTTACAAAAAAATTATGGGAAAAACACATCACTAAAAAATCAGAGTTAAAGCACAGGTTGGTTACTGATGCTCATGGGCAGTCATAGGATTGTCTTAAAAGAGGTAAATGCTGTGCTACATACAGTTGTTACTTGTCGAACCTGAATCATATTCCAAGTAAATATTGTATACCAAAAAGAAATTTTCACATCCAAATAGTATGTTGGATGTATTTCAAAGTGGTCAAATACCAAGGTACCACTGTATATAGATTTTGGGCAATCTGAGATAATGCTTGCAATCAACATCAAATTTATATCTTCTGAGAAATAAATATGATTAAGCTGCTTAATTTTTAAGGTGAATAGATTTCAAAACTAAGCAAACCAGAAACCCAGGCCTGCATGTTCAACAGCTTGTTATTCTGTTGTGCATAATAATATGATTTTATGTAAATTTAAGCAAATTTTGTTAGGAGGAAAAAGGAACTATGATGAAGGCAGAGCTAACAGCCAAATGAAAATTTTACACTTTACATTGTTATGTGCCTCTTCTCTATATGAGGTTCCATTTTTCCCATTACACCTCGTCCACCAGCGGCTGAGCGTTAACGTCGCTGAACACTGTAGTTCGGTCCGAGGTTCAAATCCCACGAACAGGCTGGTTGCATGGGTGCTTTCGTGGTTTTCCCCATGTGTAACGTGTATACGAGCCAGTTTTCCTTAAAAAGTCCTCCACGAAGGCATCCCTCCCTTAAGGCAGATAGTCATCGAGTGCTTTGCCGTAATCTAATAAACCAAACCAAACCCATTACACCTCTGTTAAAATTACACACTTGGACTTTTTGAAGACAATTATTTTATGTTTATTATATCAAATGATTCCAGTTGTTAAATTCACGATACTTATAATACATACATAAATGCTGTATTTAACTAAAATTTTATTTTCAAAATAATAAACATTAACATTATCTAAATACAAACAAACATAAATTACAGTCTTTATATTTCAGTCTTGTATCAAAATAATGAAGACTAACATTTATTGAATAAATAGTTCTTCTTAAATTACTAGATATTTTTCTAAACATATAAAAGTACATAACTAATTTTCATTCCAAATTAATAAATTATCAATAACCAAAACATGAATCAAAGAAGCATGTATAAATTAAACATTGTCCAGCAAGCATATGCGTAATTTTTTCCTTTTCCTCGTGTATATTTTCTCCCCTCTATTAAATTAATTTTAAACACTGTATTTTAATAATAAGTGCACTTAGTGAAATGGACAGTTTACAATGATCAAACCAAATCATTTGCATAGTTAACAGGAAAACTTTTTTAACATCAAAAGCATAATATGCAACTATAACATAAAAAGTGTGTTTAACATATGTAGATTAATACACATAATTTGTATATATCTATATCGATAACTACATAAAACAACATATATACACATATTGATTCTTCACATAATTAGTTTAGAATCAAACTGTTAACATAATTTATTTTTCTTAAACATTTTTCTTACAGCTGAATGACGTAATATTTAGATCAGCGATTCTCAACCAGGGGTATGCAAAAAAATAAACTATTAAATTCAAAAGTTAAATACCCCAAAATCATGCTTAAGATTTTCTCCGACACTCGTAAATTTATGAGATCTGAGCTTTGTTCGAGGTCCGTAGCCGCCCATAGACTTAAGCAAAATAACCTGTTTTTTTAACAAATATTTCTTCTTTTTTAAATATTCTTTAAAAAATTTGTCATTTTTAAAAATGAGTAATAGAAATGAATGTTGTGTTTAATAGAAAATAAAAATAAGTTCCATTCCATGGTAAGCCAGTTGTGGAGCCAATTTCTAACTAATTAGCCTCTCAAAAATCAATTGAAGATAGGCCAAGAGTTATCATTTCTGCACATGATCGATAATTGTGACTTAGTGCATGTCGCAACAGGACTGAAACTAAATCTCAACGTATATCCACGTTAATCTCTACTACAGGAAGGACAGCATCAGCTACAGAAGGCTGCATGAAGGAGGTCTATATGCTAAGCGGCCAGCATTGTGTGTCCTGCTTACCTCCTGCCACTGAGGGAGCATTTGAATTAGGCATATAGTCATGTAAACTGGACCAAAAATCAGTGGAGGTCTGCTCTGTTCACTGATGACTCCCACTTTGTTTTACAAAGTGATTCTCAGTGTATTTACATACAGAAAGAAGCAAGCACTCGATATCTTCCGCTTAACATACCAAAAAGAAATACCTGTGCAGGAGGTAGTGTTCTTGTATGGGGAACAGTATCTTCAGGTGGGTGCACAAACCTGTATGTCTTCTTTGTGCTGCCACATAGAAGTCTCAATGCTTAGAGGTACAAAGATGGCATATCAAATCCTACTATTCATCCATATACTGCCACAATTGGCGATATTTTCATTTTGCAAGCAGATAATATCTGCCCTCACACTGCTTACCTTACGTGTCAATTTCTTGAAAAAACTATAGTCAAAATGAAATGGCCAGCACACTCTTCCAACATTAATTTCATTGAGCATGTGTGGGATGCTCTTGGGCAGCCATGTTACTGGTCTCCCAAAGATGGGTTAGAAATTCTTTGCATAATCAATGGGCATTGCTGCCCATGATGATTGACAACATCATAAACAGCATTAGACGCCGCTCCAGGCCTGTATTGCTGTTCGGGGTGATTGTACTGACTATTGAGAAATATTTTTGCACTTAATGTGTATGTCTGAATTTGGGAGATTCATTCCTGTTGGTAAAAAGCATACAAATACTTTATATAACATTTTCTTGTGTGTTTAAGTGATACAATAAATATTATCACCAAGTTTCATCCAATTTGCTTGCATACTATTTAAGTTATTATTGGTTTTCTGTTTATTGCTTAACTTTTGGACACCAATGTATACACACACTCTGAAAAACCAAAAAATTATAATAGATGAGCCTAATACACAAGGCTGTACACGAGTGTAGAACTGCATAAAAACAAACTCCACAAATATGAGGCAGTATTCTATAGGCAATGGACATATCTTTCTGTAGAACAGTCTACAGTTTTGTTGCATTTGAAAGATTGTTTTATGTAACAAGCTGCATTGCATAGCAAATACATTCAGTCCCGCTTAATGCTAGTTGATTAAACCCAAAATCATTACAGAGCCACATGCAGCCTGTACAATCTCATGTTGACCCATAGAATCCATTAATTAACGATTTCTTTATTCAGGCACAGATCTATCTCTCTGCACAAAACATTCATAAATGTGACCGTCAAATCAAGCTCCTAATTTCCATTCATGAATTGTCTAATGTTGAAGTTGTCAACTGAAGAGAATTCTGCATTCAGCAGTGGTTTTCTGGATGAATATCTGCTCCAGAAAAACATATAATGAAGGAAGCGTTCCACAATCCTCATGCTTATGTTTGTTGAGGCCCTAACATTGAAATCTGATGTTACTTGAGGTAGTTTTATACTTTTATACATCAGTTTGTGTATTATCTATGTGTGTGTGTGTGTATACATATATGCAAAACATAAGGAATTTAAATGCCAATTATCATAGTAAAAGAATGATTTAAATATAGAACATAATATAAATTTTGCATAAATCAGAAAGAAGAAATTTTGGATTACAATATGAACATTATTCTAATATAAGAATAAAAAATTTTGAAGATTAATTCCTGTGATAATTCTTACAGTGTTTAATTATGTATAATTTGTGCATTAAGAATAAAAGTAAAATTATTATGGATTAAAAAGTCATTGTTAAGCAGTCATTTATAGTTGCATAAAAGATTGTTCTTAATTCAATATATTTTTTTCTTTATAATATATAATTATTAAACTTATTGTTCTGAGTGTACACAGTGGAATCTTGGATTATGAACACCTCACTAAAAACTAAACTCACCGGCACAAACGGCCCTTAGAAAGCCATAATTGGCAGTGCCCTGATATCTGCTTTCTAGACCATGGGCTTTGTGGTGCTTGTTTGATATCTGCTTTCTAGACTGTGGGCCCTGTGGTGCTTGTTCATATTGCCTGAACAAGTAGTCAGCTTGTCGCAATGTTTAGTCCCCTACATGGTAGTGATTTTTTTGGGGGGATCAAACCCCAGACCTGTGGTGCTGCTGCTCAGTGTTCTAGCAACTGTGCCACCAGGCCTTGAACACCTCACTTCACAAGCAAATTATCAGAACAGGAAGTACCTTAGATGATAAATGGTATCTCGAGTTACAAATGCCCAAGTCAGCTACAAATGATTTTTTTGAGGTAACCTATGCCTCAATGTTTAAAACTGAAGGCTTTCTGTAAAAGCCATGTAACTGACTTATTATTACTGTTAATTAGTATTATTAGCTATTTAACTTATTATTATTTGTTATTTAATTGACTGATTCCTTAAATTTCTTTAAAAAAGGCGTAGTAGTAAATGACTCACAATACTATGAATCAGATCTAGAAAAAAAGATGGCTAGGTTGGTTGGGTTGAGGTTTTTAACAGTTAGGATGCATTAGGACTTTTTTGTTGTTGTTGTCTATTGTGCCTCTAAAGAAAAACCATGAAGATATTACCATGATTGACAATGAAGATATGAAGAAATTACTCGAGGATCACAAAAATGTGCTAAAAAAAAGTGCAACAGTTTCAGAAGCAGCAAAAAAAGCTGATTGAGGAAGAAATTTCTTCAGTAGGAGAATAAGAAGAAAAATTATTATATTTCTTTGAATCCAAGAAATTTGTGCAAAATAGGGTAAGTTGCAAACTGTTCACTTAAAGACATCACCCTAATAAAGCAGTAACAAGCAGCAGCATAGGCATTTTGATTGATGATGCCAATGTTTCATTTAGAAAGCATTTTAAAACTTAATTAACAACAAATCAGTTTGGACAAATTTTGATTGAAACAGAGGCCCAATGAGTCTTAAGTGGAGCTTAGAGATGAAAGAAGATGCTAAGAGTTATATACAGTAATTTTTCATCCAAAAAATAACATCTTCCTATCATTTTCCATTTTGCCATCTTCTTTGTACAGATATAGTAAAATTAAATTGTGTTTTCATCTTTTTTTAGCTTTTTAATATTTTGTTTATGTATTTCTCTTCATTTAATGATTTCCATCAGTTTTGGCTATGAATTTCACAAAATATACTGTTGTAAAGTTTTAAATGAGAATAAATTGTGATACAAGAACAAATTAATCCATTTTACATTAATACCTGTGGGGTAAATTGCTTCGGTTAATGAATGGCCTTGATGAATGAAGTAAGTTTGTGAACCAAGATTTCACTGTAGTTTTTATTTCTTATTGATTCAAAATGTAGTCGTAATTTATCATTAGGTATGCATTTATGACAAGCTGTATTCTTATATAAATTAAGAATTTTAATGACTGTAAAAGAGTTTAACACTATTACAAATTATTTTGATTATCAATCTGTTTTTATTTCTTGTGAAATGTGAGCACTCAGAAGAAAATGATTTTTGAAAGAATGAGCGAATGTGTTATAAATTATCAAAGAATAAATAATATTAGAAAAATTAGAGACAGGACTTGATTATGAAATATAATTATAAACATTAAATAAATGCCACAAAAAATGTTATTAATTTACAGATTTATCATACGCACACATTAAAAAAGGGGATTCTGAGGAAATTTCATGTTGTTTCGTGCTCAACCATGAAGGTATTGAAAGTAAACATTATCAAATATGCCTATCTTGTTCTTGTATATCAAATATGTCTATCTTGCTCCTGTAAATGCATATTTCATTAAGTTCCTATTATTCTAAATACTCCATCACGAAATTTTAATTGAAGTTATAATCACATATGCATTAAATGTGTCGTTCATAGATGAAAGTTTGGCATCAAGTATAATAAAAATATGTAAAAGTTTTCTAATATTGCTATGGCTGTGCTCATTAAAACTGCTTACTGAGTTTTGTGTCAAAATTTTAGTACTATAAATGTATCTGTAATTAAGCATGAAAATAGTTTTAAATAATTTGAATATCATATATATACAGAATTCATTTAAAATTCCCACTACCTTATGATGTGAAGACTAAATATAGAACATTAAAATCTCATATGATAAAATGATAGTGTGTATTGTATTGCCAAGAAATCCCCAAGGAAGAATGAATAGAATTCCACATGAAAAACTCAAAATATTTACAAAAAGAAATTCATGCATAGTATGAATACTAGATGTAAAATTTGATTATTCTCACTAATCCCTTACTAGTTGTAGTTCTTAGGTACTTCTGTGTACCTGTGTGATTTCCACTGTTTTTTAAAAAACTTTTCTTCCTTGAAAATTTCTTGGCTTATGTCCTAGAAGCGATCTTTTGGCAATGTCCCCATTTCTGAATCTTGCAGATATTGAAGTTCTTGTAAATCCTTGAATTTTTCATGATCTTTAATTCTTGTATAATTTGCAGCAAGACACATTGTATAATGCAACTGAAAAAAAGAATCACATAAAATGTATGAATGAAATGTATGCCATTTATTTATATTTTCAATAAAAATTTATTCTTCAAAATGTGTAAAGTAATTTTTTTTTACTTATATATTCTAAACGGTATTTGCAATTCTTAAGATAGTCTGCTTTTTTCTCTATATTCATAATGTGGCTAGTATTACTACTCTAGAGTAAATCATTAATAATTAAGTTATTCATCAATAAATTTTAGTAAAAAAATTTAAATGATATTTTATAACTTTATTTTATGAAGTTTTAAGATAACATATATAATCATCTTCAAATGTAAAAATACTTACCAAACTTATAATAACCAATATTGAAGCAGCAAAGGATAATATATAATATGGTGTTGCGTGCTGAACCTGAAAAAATTTTTTTAAGTTATTACTATTCTACGATAAATCATCGGTTATCAATTTCTAAGGAAAATATATCAGGCATAAATCTTAAAGAAGTTTTCATCAAATGTTTGTTCTGTAACTGTCTATCTGCATTAGTATACAATAGTATTTGTAATCATATTTCTTGAGCTGTGTAATCTCAATATTAAAATTGTAAATGGGTTTTCACAAACATTGGTTGTTATACTTATGAAAATGTTTCAAATGATCATGTTTTGAAATTTTTTAATTTAAAGAACTAAATTTTATAGATTACAAACTAATTTTTTATACGTTCCTCCGGATTAGAAAAATTTTCGCATAACTGATATATTTATGATACAGCCAAATACCGAAAATCCTCTGACCTATATTACATTCAATTTATAGATTCTGGAAAACACAACATGGAGAATGAAATATCGAAGAAAAAATACTACTTACTGAATAATAACATCATAATTGCTAAATAATAATGACACATAACAAAAATACCAAATTATTGACATCACAGTAAAATTTTTTCCCCCTCCAATCTGTATCGAGGTAAAATAAGTCAGAGTTTCTGAAAAAAATTCTTTCAAGTGACCATTCTATTTTACTTTGTGATTGTTAAAAAAAAAAAAAAAAAAAAAAAAACTCAAAGACTATTTATTTGTTAGCTGAGTTATGGAATTATGTTTCCCAAACAACATTATTAAATGCCTGGTACAATGTATAGCCATCTTCTCTGCTTATTGAAACTGAGAGTGATGACAGTGAATTTTCTGGTTTTAGGGTCAGTGCAGCAAGGGTTAAAGCAAGAGAATTGCTTTTATTTCGAAAGAAAGAGTAAATGAGGATGCTTTGCAAGAAGAAGATATTGTTGAATGCATGTGTTCAGATGAGCCAACACTGGCATATCAGATGACCGATGATGAAATCATTGGCTCTGTTTTGAACTCGCCACAGCAAGAAAACAATTTCAACACAAATACTGAATTTGATAGGGATTAGAAAATATTCTTAATGAGAGTTTGGAACATGGTAATAAAAGCCTAAAATTTTTAGAACGGAGCTGTGTCACAGAGCAAGAGATTCCGACTCTATATAATTTATTAAAAAAAAAAAAAAAAAAAAAAAAAAAAAAAAAAAAACTAAACTCTGCAGCACCTTAAAGTTTTAAAAACAAACCTCTACCAGAAAATGTTTTTAAACACATTTAAAAAAATTATGATTTATTAACATCCCTCATTTTTATATGACTTTATTGTATATGTCTTTAATGCTTTTAAATATTCCTGTAATCAATAATATAAATTAATAATATAGCATATATATATAGTAATAATTTAATTAAATGTATCTAATATGTCTTATTTATTTCACACTTATAGTCTAATGTTATGATTTACCTATTTCTGTCCCAAAATCCGCAGAAATTCTGGTCTCAAGTACTGCGAATTTCTGGACTTCTGCTGTACAACAAAATTCAAATCTCGTACTAGTGATAAAAAACTTAAAAAATTTCCTGAAGTGGAGTAAATTCGCTACAAAATGTCTTTCTTTAAACTTTCTAATATGTTCCTCTGAGTCTAGGATTTTTAGCCATCACCATTTCACTGTGGCCGTTTCGCTGTAAGGACATATTTTTCTTTACACGACTGTATTATATCTTGCCATTAAATTTATTAATTCTGCTTACCTTTTGTATACTTCATAAAGGTTGCTTGTAATGTATATAGTTGTTTATAAGTATGAGATGTAAAGAAATTACACATAGTTAGAAAATTCAACTTAGTTCAGGAATGTAGATATGATTTTATTCTTTATTATCTTCAGAATTCATCTAAAATTTCACGGCAGATCCAATGTTTATTTTTATTTTTTAAATTTCTTTTTAACATTTATGAACTTTATCAACAAAAATAATTATTATAATAAAATTAGAAAATTATTATATTGTATTTAAAGAACTGATTAATGTTAATTGCTGTGGGGGGTCTCCAGTGGCTGGCACTGAACTTGGCTAGATCACCTTGGGGACCCCCAGTGATGCTACCAATAGTAAAAATATATAATTAGGGTAAATATTGATACTGATAAATTTTTAAATAATACCATAGTTACTATAATGATTTTATTCTGTAAGTGTTTTTTTGGGGGGCGGCAGTTATGCTTGGTAAGCCACTGCTGGTGGCTTCAATGTTTGTTGGTAAGTTTCAATAATTAACTAATTAATAATTATTAAATAGCTTACCTTGTATTTTCATCGACCTGGAAATAATTGAATTTGGCACAGTAAAGAGACTCAAAGAATTGAATAAGATTTTGACTTTATCAGCTGTTAGAATTATTTACATGAGTTCATTCTTTCTTAGCATCGAATACTAGTCGTTTAGTTTTATTTTATCTGTTGCCACAAACACACAGCAAAATTAAAAAATACATTACGAATCAAACATCTGGCGTTGGGGGCAGCGCCGTCCTTAGAAAAGGATAAAATAAGGCACAAACATTTTCAAAAACTGAACACTAAGCAAAAGCAAGCAATATGGTCAGCGGGCAAGAAGGTAGGCTTTTCGGTGCACAAAATTGAAAGTTTACTTTTGGTCTCTTTCGGCAAAAAGACACTGAAGGTGCAGAAACTGACTTAATTTGTTGTGGAGTCAATTTATGAGATAATTTAATAACCAGAATGGATTAATCCTGATTTAATTCGCAACAGTAAAAGAAGACGTTATTTTTGTTGTTGGGAAGCTTAGTTTCTCTAGATTGGCAACAACTCCACTATTCTGTTATGTTTGAAATGTAAACAAATATGGCTGCTATGGTAAACAAAAATTAGGCTTAGCCGCACTTAAACAACTTTTAAATTGTTGATAATTCTACGACTACAACATGCTGGTTAACTAAAGGCACAAAAACCTTAACCAGAAGATAAGAACAACATAATTCAATAATTTTTTAAAGCAAAAAGGGCACAATTTTCCAACATATAAGAATAAAAAAAAAACTGAGCTCACCGAGCCGAGTAACAGTGTTTATAATATATATTTATAAACTTTTGGTGCGATTGATTGCAACCAAAAAGGGAGGTGCACAACTACATGTTATAGCAGTCCTATATACAAAATTTCAACATTTTTAGGCTACTCGCTTTTGTAGAAGCCATGAAAAAATTTCTTTTGAATCCATTTTAAATTAATTTATAATTCGTTTGGGGGGAAGAAGTCCTTTATTCTGTCCTTGCGTACAGATGGCAAGCAAAAACATTGTTAAATTACATTCGATAGTGGTCAAAATGGAAATTTTCGTTGAAATATGATACCTGGAATTTTTCGTGATTACAATATTTCCTTTACTTCGTACAGAGAAGTAATAAATCAAAGACAATAGTAAATCACAAAACAATATCATTGAAAAGCATTTAAGGAGAAAAAAATCAAATTCGAATCAATTTATTTATTAACCAGCACATTAATGCAAAACGAAAATGACATCAAAAATCGCAAATTTTGAAATTAAATATCACTATCAGTGTTTCATAAGTCAATTTCTTGCGTTTTATTTTTTATAACAAATAACACATTTTTCTAAACATAAGGATAGGGACCGGAGGAACGTGTAAAAAGTTTTTTTCATAATTTAAGTTATTTCTTTAAATTTAAGAATGCCAAAACATGATATTTTTATCATTTGAAACATTTTCGTAATTGGAAGTATATACGTGTGACCAGCGTCAGGTATAATGGCTTTTGCTAGCTAAAGATTTTTGCGTATATTTGTTTAGAAAAGTTGTGTGCAGCATTGTCTAGTGCAGAACAAAAAACGCGAACTTATCGAAATTATTCGTAGAATTTCGAAAATTTTCATATCGTATTCAGGGACACTAAATATCTGATTAATTATAAAGAATTATTTGTTTATTAATTTATAAAATGCATAAATTATCTTATAAATGTATCAGCTGAAAGGAATACTTACTGTATCAGTGCAAAATATTTTTCTTTTTTCACAGATCATCAGAGTATTTATGTCAGTTCCATTTCGGAAAAGGAAATCTACGGAAAATGAAATGTAATGAATGTTACTTTTTTTAATATATATTACTACTCACAAAAACTATAGCATCAAAAGTGAAATAATAAAATCAATTTTGTTGGTAAATGAAAAACAGAAGGCAGAAAGAGTGAGAAATACAAAAATATAAAGAGCGAGCTAATATTTTAAAGGGGAGCACATACCACTTATCTGATCATTACTAGCTCAGAAGGGCTATTAATTTCGTTTTGGCATTCTGCGTTGAAAACTTTAAATTTCGGTTCACTTTTCAAACTGTTGCCACCAACTATTACACCCCTGTATTATATTTAAAGAAAATACATAATGAAGAATCTGCATAAATGTATGCATGTTTCTCTCATTGTGATAAAACGACGGTACATAGAGCCATCGAATTTTGAATGACGTAATCCTCTTATGAATATAAAAGGCATGTAGAAGCCCACATTTGAAATTGGAAATTTGTTTTATTATCGATTTCATATTTTGAAAAACTTTAATGAATTTTTGAGTAACAAACTCAACAATTTCAAAGCGAACAATATTGCAATAATGTACCGGGGGAAAAAACATTTTTATCTACTGTACGCAGGACTGTGCGTAGGAAATTCTAAAGATATGCTCATTTTAAAATTATTTTGCGATATTGCTGTTGAACTGAATTTTATGGTTTAAGTGCGAAGAATAATATTGTAACGAAATGTACAGGCGCGGTAAGATAGCTTCCCCATAAAGCAGGTTTACAGTTGCGATAACATGACAAAGCAAGACAGGATTGCTACATTAGGCGAGAAATCGCCCATTTGGCAACAAAATTAGAGGTATGCCATGGACGGATGGAGAACCTTCTGGAACAAATTCTTACCGGTTTAGCCCAGAATGTTCTCGAACACAAGCCAAAAACTATACAAACCCTGTTGGTACACGGAGTGTGTCTTGTCAGTGCGAGTTAGTGTCTCGAATTAGTCAGCCCGTGCGGAGTCGATCGAGTTGATAGCAGGGCAGAGATTGCCGAGTGGGTCGTCGAGTGCATCGAAAGAGTCTCTTAGTGTATCGCGGTTAGTGCATCGTCGAGGGAGTATGTTGAGCTCCGGGAACGACTGAACCGAAGAGTCGGGAGCTGCGCTTTGTGTGTCGTCGAGTGCATCGCGAGTTGTAGCATGGAGAGTCTCGAGAATACGTGGAGTTCCGAGAACGACCAAGCAGAGACGGGAGCTGTACTCCGGTGCTTTGCAGTGAAGCTGTCTCCACCGTTATAGCTTGATAACCTGAAAGCTGTGTCGCTGATTGTTCCAGCGAGTGTATAGTAGATCTTTGACGACTGTAAAACGTGACTTTGGAACTATCCTGATTTCCCTGAGGAACATACCAAACGAAGGATAAAATAACGTAACAACTGGTGTCAGAAAATAGTGTAAGAATATTTAATAAATAAAGGTAACCCACACGATATTTAATAAAAAAAAGGTAACCCACAAAACATTAAAAAAGCGCTCCTTTGAATGTAATGTAAAATCTGAATGCTTTCAGATTTTTTATACTTTTTTTTTTAGAATAAATTTACTCTTGAAAAATAGTTCAGGCAAAAATTGAAACTGACTCTTTATGAATTTTCAGTCCCATCGTTTTTACAGTTTACCTAAGAAGTTTAAGACGCTTTAAAATTTATTACGTTTATAATTAGGCCATTTAATATGAGATTATTCAAATGGCGTCATCACATGATGAAAATTAAAAAAAGCTGTAAATATTTAACTTTACTTTGTTTAACATTTTTCTAAAGAATGTCAAAGCTACTGTACTTTCTTTCACAGTTTCATTCGATCTGAATGAAACTATGCGTTACAAGTACCTACGGATCTAAAAATACGCGATTGAGAAATCACAGACAATTTAAAATCACCCTACAGCAGCTCGCTACAGCCCGTAGAAATGGTGCATAAAGCTTCGCTCAGATGAAGATTTTGTCGTCATATGGGTTTCTAAGTATGCGGCATAGAAGTCGTTAAGTTCATTCACACCTGTTTAACAGCGTTTAAGCCGTAGCTAATCAGGAAACGGATAGTTGCGCACGCGTAAATGGGTAGCTGAGCGAAACAAATCGAGTAATGTTTTCTTCGCTCTGATTGATTAATTCTTACATGAAGTTGGCATAAAGTTGAAAAGTTAGAACTTTTTAGCGAAATCCTTAAACAGTTTTTGTAATGTAGCAAGGTCTGTGCTAACAAAGAAGTTTGACTTGGACCTTTTATGATGGAAAAACCATCGTGTGAACGAAGCTTAAGAGCAGTTGTGACTGCGTGAACTCCTGTATTGTAAAGTTCCAATCAGAAATTTTCACAACATCCCATGAAACGGAACATTTCTAAGAATCTTGCTTCCAGATTTACGTAGGTCCCATTATATGTCCTTCGATCTGATTGGTAAATCTATGCACAACACAGCGTCAAAGCAAATTTTTCTGTCTTGAAGTAAAAAGTTTCTACTGAAAACCTATCTTTCAACGTGGTTATGACACAGCAGGTCTAGGGAAAACTGATTGTTATATTTTCAGGTTGTGAATATGATACAGATTTAAGAGTTCTTTGACATCCATGACCATCTTAACATGCTTGAGCCATCTGCCTAAAATCCCTTAATTGCATTAGATTGAGCAATAATAATACAGTTTTCAGTGAAAAAAATTACATTAAAATATATTTATATTGCTAATTTTTATTTAGTTTAACGATGCTTATAGTGTGGTAAAGGCAGTTAGTTGACTGCTACTCATAAAACTACACACGAAAAGCGAAAAAAAAATTTTTTTTAATGTTAATTTAGCCTTTATTTTTGGAAATCTATGCATAATGTCAGTATAACCTCGCTTTTCTAATGTATCGTATTCTATGGCTAGAATAATTAAATTGAATTATTCACATATTTATTCGTTTCAAAGCAGAAAATGAGCTTTTTCTCATTATGAACTGCGATCAGCTTTTGATCAATTCATCGCTTAATAAATTGATAGAGAATATGCCTGTAAATAAATGTACTTGGGCTTAATCCTCAATAGAAGTGTAAGCGACTTATCGCTATATCTAAGATGAAACAGAAATTAAGAAGGGTGTTTAAGATCCTATTGTTTGAACAGAAGGCACACCTGGTGCTTACAAATCATCCAGTATTTATGACGTGAACTCAAAAAGAAGAAATTTAAGCTAAAATTAAACCTAAGCATTTATTAGCCAAAAGCTACTCAGAGATATTTAAACGCAGAAGTAAACTCTTAAGCCTACACCAGCGTGACAACGCTATCGGCAAAAATAAAGCAACGCCGTGGACAGGATCGCTTAACATAGAATAGCAACTAGTAACGCAGTCTTCAGCAGGCAGAATACGCTCTGTCTATCTAAACAATCTGAAACCCTTACTTAAATACACGAGAACTAATTTGCATTCTGGCAGGTAAACGGAAGGAGATAAGTGATAGTACAGATTTGGAACATAAAATGACTGGGTCATTTACATAAATAAGCCTTACATACTAAAATGCAAAAATTATTCCACGAATCTTTTACCAATGTATTATATAAGTTCTTCAAAATTAAACTTCCTCCTTGAGGATTTCACACTGTTCGATTCGCTTTCATTCGAAAATTTATCATAATCATCTTGCTTTTTCCACACTTTTTGAGTATTAGCTGTCGTCGGGGAGACCTTCTGGTATACACATTTCTAAGTACAAATACGTCTACATAATCAAGTCATACTTGTGCAGCCAGAAGTTAAATTGTATATTTAGTCACGTATTTTTTATATAAATATAAATTCTTTTAATTATAAAAGTAATTGTTAGGATTAAATATGTTAAGTCATTAGTTTTTTTTAGTCAAAAAGGGCAGTTTGCCCAGAAGGACTATTCATTTTGTTTTGGCATTTTGCGTTCATTTACTAAAAGCATTGTTTCACTTTTCAAATTGTTGCCACCAAATATGATCGTCCTGTATTACGTATATGTAAAGAAATTAAATAATGAAGAATCTGCATAAATGTATGTACGTTTCTTGCACTGTGATAAAACAACGGTACCTAGAGCCATCAAATTCTGAATAACGTAATCCTCCTGCAGATATGGGCATGTGGAAGCCCAAATTTGAAATTGGAATTTGTTTTATTATCGATTTCATATTTTGTAAAACTTTAACGAATTTTTGATTAACAAACTCAAGGATTTCAAAGCGAGCAATGGCAACGTTGTACAGAAAGAACAGAGTATCACAAATTCTAAATATAAGTTCATTTTAAAATTATTTTGTGATATTGCTGCTGTACTGAATTTTATGGTTTGAGTACGTAGAATATGATATTTACTAAATAAAGTTGAAAAATGTTGAAAATGTTGAAAAAGAAACGTCCCTTTGGACGTAATTTGAAATCTAAAACCTTTCAGTGAGATGTGAAAAACTGAAAAATGCACAGTGTCCTTGCCGGGACGTTGGACCTCTCAAATACGCGTCAAGTGTGCTTCCAGTTACATCACGAAGGCATGCGGGAAGACTGACTGACTGATTTCGTGTATTCCAGAATACCGCAAAAGTGCAGTGTCTCTAGATCGTTGAATCTAAGGCCGTAAGGCGCATCACATAAATCTATTCGTAGGTAGGAACCCAGAGGCAATGAGAAGGTAGACAAGGGGGGCCCGAGCATCACACGGTCAGAAAACAGCGATCATGGACATGAATAGCTGAAGTATTTGTGTTGTCATCAGCTAGAGCATAAAGAAGTACCAATGCAGGTCATCGTAATAGAGTATAAAAATATAAATATATAGGTCATCGTAATACAGTATAAAAATATAAATATAAAGAGAGATAATTACAATATATACAACAAAGCAGTGAGGAGTGGACATAAATATTACTTGGGGAAGTAGGAATCACGTGTGAGGTGAGCCGTGAATGGTCTAATATTACTATCTTCCTCCAAAACATAGTTGAGCGTATTCAAGCTGTTTAAA